TCACTCTAAAAAAAAAAATCAGAGATGGGATGAGAGAAATATGAATTTATTCTCTCTCCCTCCCTCTCCTTTCTTTCCATCCTCCCCTTTCTCTTCTTTTTCTCACTCCTTTCCTTCCTCCTTCTTATCCTTCCTTCCTTAGGACACGCTATCATGTAGCTATCATGTAGGGTTGATATGAGACTCAGGGAGTAACTGAGAATGACCTTGATCCTCCTACCTGGTGCTCCTGGATGCTAGGGTTGCTGGAGAGGGAGCCCAGGACCTCATATATGCCAGGCAGGCACTCTACCAACTGAGCCACGCCCCATCCCTCCCCTTCCATATTTACTTTCTACAAGGTAGACTTGTACTCTCTTCTGCACTTAATACAAAGGCTTAGTATTTTAAAAATTTATGTTGTATTTTATGTAAAAGCAAGAAGTGATCTTCTAAAGTATTTAATGGTATTTTATATGCAGTCCTAACAGAATTAATGAAATGATTAAGTAATAAAGTACAGAGGATAAAAGTTAAGATTACCTCCCAGAGCACTAACTTTCTGTTTTAATTACCTGATTCTTGTAAGTTATAGAACTCTGACTCAAGGTCCTATTTGCTTCCGAGGAATAACGAGAATGAGGTCATTTTCTTCACTGTAGGTCAGTTTTAATGTATTTATCAGTAGGTATGTAGCTTAGGGGTGTGTGTGTGTGTAAAGAGGCCAGGGAGAATATCAAGTTTCCTGCTCTACCATTTTCCACCTTACTCCCTTGAGCCAGGGTCTTTCCCTGATCCCCTGGAGCTAGGCTGGCAGCCAGCAAGCCCCCTCCCCACCGCATCCTTTAACCACTTTCCCCGCCCCCAGCCTAGAGTTAAAGGTACCCTGAAGCATCATCCAACTTTTTAGGTGGGTGCTGGGTATTTGAACTCAAACACTCTTACCGGGCTAAACATGTCTCCAGTGCCGAGACATGTTTATTTGTTTATTTAATATGCTGCCTCAAAAAGTTTCCCAGGCTGGCTTTGAACTTCTGCTCCTCCTGCATCTGCCTGCCAAGTACTGAGATTACAGATTTGCACCACCACTCTCAGCAAACCCTGATTCCAACTTCAGTCTTCTTTTTTCTAGTTCTGAGCTTGAACCCAGAACCTCACATATGATAATCGTCTCAGTTCCTTTTCCTGTTGCTGTGGTAAAACACCCTAACAGAAGCACCTTAAGGGAGATAGAGCTGAGGCAGCTCACAGTTCCAAGTCCGCTAGTGCTCAGCTTGCTTTCTCCACGTTTGTTTGTTTTATACTCTTATATGGCTCAGATTCTTACTCTCTCAAGAGAACCTTCTTACACCTCCCTTTCTAAATTAACATAATCAAGATAATTCTACACAGGTGGAGACATCGCTGTGAATGCCTTTAATCCTAGCACTCTGGAGGCAAAGGCATGAATATCTCTGTGAGTTCAAGGCCAGCCTCCCAGGTGATTCTAGACTGAGCCAGATTGTCAATTAACACTAGCTGTCACATAAGGAGTGGAGAGAAGGCTCTTTGGTTAAGGGTACATACAGCAGAAATCCAAGTTCATTTTCCAGCACCCACATGTGGCAATTGACAACCATCTGTAACTCCAGCTCCATGGGATCTCACAGAGCCCTGCACTCATGTAAACATCAACACAGTCACACACACACACACACACACACACACACTCATAATTTAGAAGTGAAATAAGTGGTTGGAGAGATAGCTCAGAGGTTAAAAGCATTTGCTGCTCTTCCAGAAGAGTGGGGTTCAGTTCCCAGCATCCATATGGTGCACATTCATACATGCAGGGATTTTGCACAAACAATAAAAATAAATAAATGTTGAGACTTTTAAAAATCCAACAACCGGCCGATCGTCCTGATAAGCGAGCGCTTGTTAATGAGCTGCAGGCTAGCCCCACCATCCACACTGCCTTGATTCTGATAAAGGAACAGCTGAAACTGGAGTGCAGCCCCCCCCACCCCCCGCAGCCGGGTGACTTGCCTCGCTCTGGTGCTCTCTGAATCACGGTGCTCAGAATTTCGCTCCCCTAAGGAACTGTTTATTTTTCCAGGCTGGCAAGAGCATCAGGAACTTGGCTTCTGCTAATCATCACTAAACAAATACCTCAACACCTTTTCTGAGAATTATCAGAGCTTAGGAGTTCATCGAAAAGGGGCCATTTATCACCAATGGGAAGGACCCCAAGAGAGTTTGGGGGGAAGTGTTTCAGTTCAAAGACATTCAGCCAGGTGGCATTTATCGGAAGAGCCTTGAACAGGACTGAGGGCCTCGCTGGGACAGCTTTGAGCTGACCCCTGTGGGGGCTGACCTGTGAGTCATAGTTCCCTGCCTTACCCCCACAGACCACCTGTGGACAGCAATGAGCCATCACCAACACCTGTTGACAAAGGATGTTAGTTCAGACTGACCAGTTGGGTCGGAGTGGTCAACACCCAGCAGAGTGTCTGCTCAGCTGATCTGCCTTGTGTTTTAGATAAGATCGGGAACAGTCAGGGCAAGAAGGCCTCAGACAGCCTTAGCTAGTCAGTACTTTTCTAGATGCTGTGGCCAAAACAAAACAAAACAAAAAACAAACAAAACAAAACAAAACAAAAAACTTAAAAAAAAAAAAAAAACCTGATAAAAAGAAACGTGGAAATGGTTTGTTTTGGCTCACAGTTCTAGGGCGCAGTTCATTGTGGTGGGAAGGCAGGAGCATGAGGCAGCTGCTGACAAAGCACCCACGCTCAGGAAGTGGAGAGAGGGATACGGTGCTCAGCTGTCCTTCTCTCTATTGAGTCCACTCCTGGACTCCTGAAGGGGGTGTCTTCCCTCCCCAGTTAACCCAATCCTCACAGGCACACCCAGAAGTCTGCTCATAGTGATATCACTAACTACATAGAACTTTTAAACAGAGGGTACCCTGCACTGGCCACCCTTGCAAAGGAGGGAACAGAGATAAATAAGGACTGTCAACTGGTGATGGTGATGTTTTATTTCTTTGGAAATAGTTTATAGAGCATAGTGATGAATAATAAATCTTAAAAATATTTACATTTGGGGGTCACGAGAGCAGGAGAGCTAGCCCTACCTCCCCTCCCCCCACACACACCTGCTGCAGCCCAGGGTATGAGCACAGGAGAGCTGGCCCCGCCTTTTGTATGCTGGGCCATGGCAGAGAGAAAAAGACACTCTCCTCCCTTCCCTTGCCCTTCACCATCTGTGGCAGATGGGTGAGCTGGCCCCCAGGTTATGAGAGTGGGAGAACTGGCCATGTCCCTCACCGGCTGCGACACTCGGGAGGGCGGCTCTGCACTTCACCTGTGCACCAGACAAGAGCTGGCCCTGCATGTAGGGATCGCAGACGAGCCAGCCCCAAGGGCGAGAGAACAGGGTAGGTGGCAGGCTGACTAGCTCAGATGCCCCTCAGGCCCAGGGTCAGGGCTTTGCATTGGCCCACCACAACATCAATCCTGTCAGTGAACTGCTGGGGTGCATGAAGGGGCTGGACCTACAGATCCAAAAACGGCAGGATCTCCATAACGCAGGGAAACAACAGGATATCCGAGAGGAGTCCCAGGGAGCTTCCAGTACTGAAAGAGCAGCAGAAGCCAGAGGCCTCGTACCAGGCTGGAGAGTCATAGCAATGAACATTTGCAAGCAAAAAAAGTGTGGACAAAAGGGTATACTTGTGGGACACACTGAGACACACCATAGCCTCCACAACGAGATTATTTTTTCTCTGTTGGGAGGAGGGCAGATACAAGAGAAGGGAGAAATGAGTGGGATTGGAGTGCATGATGTAAAATTCAGAAAGAACCAATAAAAAGTTTTAAAATACTTATATTTGAACTGTTTCACATGTTTCACAGATTATTGAAAGATGATGAATTTCAAAGCCCAGTAAAAATGCTCTGGACACACTTTTAAAAGCCACACTTACAGCCTCCTAAATGGTTACTGAAAACCAAATATTTATTGAGCAGTTAGTGTGTGTATGAGAGAGAGAGAGAGAGAGAGAGAGAGAGAGAGAGAGAATCTGGGATACCGATGAGATTCCTACACACGACTCTCCCTTCTGAGGAAGCCTAGTGTCAGCAGGTAAGGCCCAGACGAGTGTGTGTTGGTGAAGTCTACACAAATGAGCAGGTCAGGTTGGTACCTGCCAATGAGGCAGACCCCCGCAACCCAGCAGCTCCACTTACAGTGGAGTTCTCCGGAGTGTGAACAGGGATGGAGCTCATTCAGTAGAGCCTGTGCCTACCATGGGCACAAAGCCCTGGGTTCTACCCTCAGCACCGCACAAGTGGCATATGGTGCTGTATGCCTGTAATCCCACCACTCAAGTGGTGAGAAAAGAAGCCCAGAAACTCATTATCCTTGGTGTGATGGTTAGTTTTAAGTGTGGACATGACACAATCTGGAATTGCCAGAGAAGAGGGTCTCAGTGACAGATTGTCTAGATCACATTGGCCAGTGGATGTGTCTATGAAGGATTATATTGATCATATTAACTGATATGGGAAGGCCTGCCCACCGTGGGTGGCATCATTCCCTGGACATTGGATCCTGAACTGTGCAAGAGGGAGCAAGAGGGCTGAGCACAAGCAAGCATGCATTACTTAGTTGCTCTGCTCTTAGCTGTGGGTGTAGCTGCTTCAAGATCCTGCTCCCTCAGTTTCTCCACAGCAATGGCAACACCCTGGCATTGTGAGCTGAATAATCCATTCCCCCATAAGTCACTTCTCTCAGGGGACTTTTGTCACAGCAACTGGAAACAGAACGCAGATGCTTGGCTACACAGCAAGTCTGATGCCAGCCTAGGCTACTTGAGAGCCTATCTCAAAACAAATGTGAGACAGAAGTGTGGGTTGGGGCCCCGTGTCACTTACTGCTGTTTGTTGTCCTTCCTGAGGTCTATCCCTTTCTAGGTTAGTTAGAAGAAAGTTAAGACAAATGGTGTGTTCCATTTCCTTCTTGTGTTTGTTTTGCAGCAAAAGCTATGTGATCCCCTTGCAGTGCAGCTGCCCCGTGGATTTCGAATTCCATATCACTTTGCTTCAGTCTCATCAGGCCTTTACAATTGAGCCAAAGTCAGGTGAGGACGGTGTGACTTCAGACAACTGATTGCCCCAGCGATCTCAGGTTAGAGGCAGGGCTTGGAATATTAGTCACTTCCCTTGTTACTGTAGCAAAAACAATGGAAGGAAAGGAAGGAGGGAGGGAGGGAGGAAGGAAGGGTGGTAGATGGGTTTGTTTTGTCTCACAGTTTGAGGGCACACAGTCCATCATGCTGGGGAGTCATGGCAGCAGGAGCTTGAGGCAGTTGGTCATGGCATCCACAGTCAGAAAGCGGAGAGAGATGGATACCGTGCTTAGCTTACTCTCTCCTTTTTATTCTCTCCAGCTCGTGAGCCAGTGCTGTCCACACTCAGGACGGCTCTCGTTGCCTCAGTTACACATTTCTGGTTGCACTCTTATGGGCACTCCATCTCCAGTCCAGTTGACAAGAAACATTAACCAGCATGCTTGGAGAGTACATACACACACATGTACTCCACACACATGAAAAGAAGGGAGGATAAACTGGGTCAAGTATAAATTGTTTCCAAACACATCTCCTCTTCCAAGCAGTTTGGTGGTAACCGAACCCATGGACGTTGCTGCTTGCTTGTGTGGCCTAAAGGCTGGGAAGTTCAGTTTTCACAGCTGCTACGCACCAGCGTTCATCACAGACCCACAGATCACTGTGTCCTTGAAGCTTTGTCCCATTTTACAGATGAGGAAACTGAGCCTCAGGGAAGGTGTTCAAGCTGAGTTGCAGAGTTCCCGAGTGACCAAAGAGAACTGTGACTGGTGGAGGTCCAGTGAGCCCTGAGGCTGCTCTCTTGCCCAAGTCCTGGGTAACAGCAGAGGCCCATGACTCACTAATGGTAGGCAGAGGGAGACCCTGTCTTCTTGCTGCTCTCCTCTACAACACAGTGCTAGAATTTATCAACAGCCTGTCTGCAGATGACATTTAAACCATGCAGCTGTAACTCAACCTTACAGAAGTTAGTTTGCCCCAAGCCCCACACTCAGCAAGACCCCAAATCTTAGAAGGATAAAATGGTCCTTAAAAGACTCCAAGCACAAGGCTTGGATGAGAAACATTCTGTACTTCTGCAATGTTGGGAGGAAATGTTTAAAGTTTTCACTAATATAACTGATCTCACTTACGTGTGGAATCTAAAAAGTTTGATCTCATAGCACTGAGAATGCAGCTCAGTTGGCAGAGCGCTTGCCTGGCATGCAAGGAGCCCCAGGCTTCACCCTCATCCCTGCACACCTGTAATCCCATTGCCTGAGAGATGGAGCCAAGATGGTCAGGCACCCAATCATCTTCAGCTACATGGGACTTCAGCCTGGGACTGTCTCAAATGTGTGTGTGTGTGTGTGTGTGTGTGTGTGTGTGTGTGTGTGTATAAATAGATGTATATACATTTGCCAGGTGTGCTGGTGTATGCCTTTAATAACAGCATGGGGGGCGGGCATCGCAGATTCGGGTGAACCTCTGTGAGTTCAAGGCTATCTTGGTCTAAATAAGAAGCTAGCCCCAGGACAGCCAGAACTACATAGAGAGACTGTGTCTCCAAAACAATCCCCCTCCTTTTTTTTCCTTCTTCTTCTTCCCCCCCCCTCTCTTTCTTTCTTTTGAGACAGGGTTTCTCTGCGTAGCCCTGGCTGTCCTGGACTCACTTTGTAGACCCGACTGGCCTCAAACTCACAGAAATCCACCTGCCTCTGCCTCCCAGAGTGCTGAGATTGCAGGTATGCGCCACCACACCGACCTAAGATTTTTTTTTTAATTATTTCATGGAAATGGAGTCTAGACTAGTAGCTATCAAAAGCTGGGGACATGAGGTGGGATGTCAGCAGGTCACAGCCAGAGGAAGTAAGTGCACAGCAGAGTTGGATTGAGGTCAATAATGCATAGCTCAAAGTGACTCTGAGAGGGACTGCCCTCGATACCTGAGCTCCAGCACCCTCAGAAAAGCCCAGTGGAGGCGCCTGCCTACAATCCTAGCACAAGCCACACAGTGACAGGAGAAGCCCTGGCACTTGCTGGCCAGACAGCCTAGCCAATCAGAGAGCTCTGTGTTCAGTGAGAGGCCCTGTCTCAAAAGTAAGGTGGGGAAGCTGCTGAGCAAGACCCCCAGGGTCAGCCTTCACACACACCTGTTCATGGCCGGGCACAGACTCGGGGGTGTGCAGGTGCGTGTACACAGACTCCTCTGAGAGGATTTGGGACGATTTAGTGTCTCAGAGATAAGGTTTTTGGTGACAAACTGCCCTGCTTTATCCATACACAACTGTGTATGAATGGAAAAAAAATCACATCTATATAATTATATGTTGGTTAAAAATGTTTTAAAGGCTGTAAACATACACCCTTTAAATACTATATGTCCAGTGTGTATGTAAATATTACAATATATCTAGTGTATAGACATATACTATGGGACAATTTTTATAAGTTTTTCCAGTCTAGGCCTTATTCCCCTAAAAAATAACATACTTTTATTTTCTTTTTTTAGTCCCTGCTCATGCCCATATTTTCTATTAGTTTATTTACACATCTAAATATGTCCATGTATATGTTTACATTGCTTTATTTACATGCTTATTTATGTTTATGTTTTCTTTATATTAGTGTCACCTAGGAAATGACACAGCAGTATTTCCTGGTGGTGACCTCATTGATGGGTGGTGTTGTGTTCTTTGTAATGCTTACATTGATAAACTATGACCTCTAATTTTGTTTTTATGTGTGTGAGCCACATGTGTGTGGTGTTCATGGAAGGTGACAGACAGCATTAGATGTCCCTGGAGCTAGAGTTACAGGCAGTTCTGAGCTGCCCGGTGTCGGTACTGAGAACTAAACTCAAGTGGTCACCAAGAGCAGCAAATGCTTTTCACCACTGAGCCATCTCTGCAGCCAGGGTTTCTTGGCTTTTATTAGTTTTTGTTGTTACCGTCATTTGTTTTTGTTTGCTATCGTCTTACTAGATATTGCACAGCAGCCTGGACGTGGGGTCTCTGCCTTGGTCTCCTGAATCCTGTATGATAGGCACACATCACCCCACCCAGCTTCCGGTGTGTGAATAATGGACCGTTGTGCTGAGGTGGCAGACTGTAATTGATCCAAGAGTAGTAGTTCAGGCTTTACTTTTTTAATGCATTCATTTCATGTACTTGCGTATGCGCATGTACGTATTAAGGGCGGAGGACAATTTTCTAGTTAGTTCTCTCCTTCCACCGTGTGGACCTGGGGCTCAAAACCAGATGGCCGGCCTTGGAAGCATGCACCCTTACCGTGAGCCATCTCACTGCCTGTTCCACAGACACGCTTGGCTTTTGTAGGATGGCCTAGAATTCACTACGAAGCCAAGGATAACCTTGAACTTCTTTTCTACTTTTTTTTTTAACTTTCAACTTCATTTATTTAGTTGTTCACCTTACGTCCCAATCGGAGTCCCCGTCCTCCTCTCCTCCCAGTCCTGCCCTCCCTCCTTCTCCCTACCCCCTCCTCCCTCCCATAGCCTTCAGGAAAGACTCCTCCTCCCACTAACCCACCCCACCACTTCAGGTCTCCTTCGGACTGAGCTCATCCTCTTCCACAGTGGCCCCACCAGGAGGAAGTGATCAAAAGCATGCAACAGAGTCCATGTCAGAAACAGCCCCCGCTCCCCTTACAAGGGCACCCACAGGAAGACCAAGTTGTCCATCGGGCATATATGTGCAGGGGCCTAGATCCAGTCCACACATGGTCCTTGGTTGGTACTTCAGTCTCCACAGGTCCCCCTGGGCCCAGCTTAGTTGGCTCTGTTGGTCTTCTTGTGAAGCTCCTGTCTACTCTGGTTCTCTCTATCCTTCCTCCAAGTCTTCCACAAGGCTCCCTGCACTCCACACAGTCTTTGGCTGTGAGACTCAGGATTTGTTTCAATTCTTTACTGGGTGGGCTCGAACCTAGAACTTCTGATCCTGCTGCCTCTACCTCCTGAGTGCTGGCGCCACTGCAGCCGGTTTGTGTATGGCCTGTGGATCTTTGTGCAAGCTGGGCAAGCACCCTGCAAACTGAGCCACGTCCCAGCCCTGAAGTAGACTTTTTCAGATGAGTTTAAATATTGAGCATACCTTTCTCGCTTACAAAACACAGGGCATCACTCCTTTGTGCCACTGTGAATTTTGCCCAAGCAGTAGCTGTCAAGACTTGGCACCTATTCTGTAACTGTTAACATCACACAGCCAGCCAAGTCCCGGTGATGGACCTACACTAACAGGAAAAAAAAAAAAAAAAAGCGTTTACCATGGTTGCCTAGGCTATGTCTCCACAGCAGGCTTTATGTATTATGCCTGGGCTGAGAGCGCTTAAAAAAATTACTCACCCAGGTCAAGGTAAATATTAATCCTCCACCCAGAGCTTGTCCTTATGCTTTTAAATTAATGAGCTGAAGTAAAGCAGGAGGGTACTCTTGGCCTCAAGGCCCAAATGGTCTGCAGGTCCCACAGGGTGGATATTCTGACCTAGTGATAGTCAATGTATTAAAGTCTCTTCTGGATTTCTACCCGGATGACCCGCTGTTGGCCTGCAGACCCAGTGTCACTGGTGACTCTTTCCACCTGCTCCTGTGCTCGAAATTCCACAGTGGCCATCACTTAACAATTTTGACCTCTGCCTGTGCTCAGGAAATTAACAAACGCCCACTTTCTGTGTGTGCGCGCCAAGTGTGTGTGCGCGTGCGTGTGCGTGCGTGCGTGTGTGTGTGTGTGTGTGTGTGTGTGCATGCGCGCTCACGCTCGGGCCTACCTTAATTGTTCTCCCCACCTTACATTTTGAGGCAGGGTCTCTCACTGTTTCTGCTAGGCTGGTCAGTGAGCTCCAGGAATCCACCTGTCTCTACCCCTCCCAGTGCTGTTATGGATGTGTTCACCTTGTCTGGCTTTACAACCGTGGGTGACAGGGATCCCAGCTGAGACCCTCAGGCTTGTACAGGAGGCTTTACTCGCTGAGGCATCACCCCAGTGTTCTGTGTTATCGATAATGGTTCTGTGATGCATCTTCGTACATGCATGTAATATAGTTAGATCATAGTCACTCCCTCCTACTCTCCCTTGTCCCCCTACCATTCTTAATGATCTCCTTGCTCTCCCCAGCTAGCTGCCCTTCTGCTTTCATGTCTGTGTCCCAGTGAGCTTCCTGAGGGTTGTTTACAGGCGTGTGGGTGAGGAACTGTTTCCTGGAGCTCAGGCATCTTATCAGTGGCTACACCACTGATGAAAATGTCTCTTCCTCCCTTGGGGACTCTGAACTGACTGTTTTCAAAGCAGCATAGGAGGTTCAGGTGGATAAAAGAGCTGTGAGATAGTGTTTGCCGTGAGGACAACATTCAGTAGGACCCGGGGAGAGACTACACAGTGATGACAGCCCGTCAGACCACTGTGCAGGACAGACGGGCCCTGGGACAATGCTGGGTCAGTGACGGGCAGGGCCACATGTTGGCCAGGACAGCTTAGCTATGCACAGCTCTTGCCCTCTGTTTAAACCTGAACGTCATGTCAGGACCCCATGGGTGGACTTTGGGGATCATTGAGCCTCTTCCTTCTCTTTCCCAAGGTGGTACACTGACTACATCTCCTTTTCCTGCTTTTCACTATTAGTTTATCCCCTTAATTGGTATAGTGAGCATGGGTGGCACAGCCTGCCTTGTTGGGGATGAGAAGGTCCAAGCTGTGGCCCTGGCAACCCCTGGGACACACAGTGTTCTGAGCCCAGTGGGCAGAGAAGGAATGTGGCCTAGTATGCCAGGAGGAGCAGCACCAGTGCCCCTGTAGGACTTGGAGTGGGGCTTTGTGCTAGAGCAGTTGCCAAGCATGGATAAGGACTGGGCCTCCAGCCCCTACACTAGAAAGAGAGAGGGGGGAATGAGAGAGGAATGGAGGGGGTGGAGGGTGATTTGAGAGCAAAGAATCAAGTTATAGAAAAGCACACGGGAACTAAACAGTCTGGAAAAGAACTCAGGTGTGTTCCTAGCTTCCCGTGTTGCTTACGGCATTGGCATTGCATTCTGATCATTTGCTGTAGGGTCAGCATTCTGGGAATTTATGTTGGAGGCACTAATGCAGTTGAATTTGCCCATATCTGTGTAATTACATGATCAGGTAATTGCTGGAAAGGATTCCAGTAGTCACTTATAAGCAAGGTCTTCGTCAACACTCAGAAGTTGGGCCATGTGCACTTAAGACAGGAACAGAGAACAGAGTCATGGCCATGCTGTGACGGGAAGATGAGGTCTGTGTTGCTTCCTCAACTGCACTTGGTGAGCAGAGAGATTCCTCCTGTAGACATTCATCCTGCCTGGCCAAGGAAAAAGGAACTTGTAGGCAGGGCCTAGGTTCATCAAAGTGGGAAGACCTACCCTGCAATGTGGGAAGCCCCATCCCAGGGGCTGTGGTCCCAGATGGAATAAAGAGGGGAAGGTGAGCCGAACACAGCCTCCATCTCTCTGCTTCCTGGGTGTGGACACCATATGAGCAGCCGCCTCAAGCGCCTGCTGCCGTGACTTTGCAATCCGATGGACTGTGACCCTTAAACTGAGCCAGAATAAACCCTTCCTGCCTTAAATTGCTTGTGTCAGGTATTTTGTGATAGCAACAGGAAAATAAACTAATACGATGACATTCTCCCCACCCTCTCTCCTTGCAGGAATAATTCCAGCTAATGGAAAGGCAACAGTAACTGTCAAGTTCACACCTATCCAGTATGGATTGGCACAAATAAAAACCCAGTTATGGATCTCACAGTTCAACTCTCAGCCATATGAATGTGTCTTCACTGGAACCTGCCACCCCAACATGGCCTTACAGTATGACTGCTTCATCATGTTTCTGTCTATCCGAGTAGCCCAGGCTGGCCTCAGACTCACCATGCAACCAAGATGACTTTGACATTCTGTCTGCCTCCACCTCTGGAGTGCTGGGCGTACAGACATGCAAAACCACATCCAGTTTACATGGTGTTGGGGATGGGATCCAGGGCTCTGCGCATTCAGGACAAGCACTCTATCCACCAAGCTACTGCCCCAGTCCCAGTTCCTCTTGACACTTCATCACATATGTAACCCAATCCAGTGAGTGGCATTGAGGTGCACACTGGTAACCCCATCACTGAAGAGGCAGAGGCAGGGAGATCCTGAATTCAGAGCTAGCCTGAACTGCATAGCAAGAAGCTGCCCTAAAATAAAATAAAATAAAATAAAATAAAATAAAATAAAATAAAATAAAATAAAATAAAATAAGACATATCCAAGTCTTATCCATTTCCATTTTCTCCATTGTTTTTAAAGCTGGGAGTGCAGGTCAGTCACTGGCCTCTTGCCTGGCATGTAGGTGGCCTCAGGTCCAACACTATGAAAACAACATTAATATTACAACAGGAGTCAACATAAAAGGCTTTAAAGCGTAGAGGCAGCTGTGCTAGCAAATGAGCGCAATCCCCAACCCAGTTTTGTTTTTGTTTTCAAAGGACTGAATCATTCTTTTCCTAGGAAAGTAAATCAAAGTAATGGTTTCTAAAACATCAGCCTAAGCTGTTGAAGAGCTCCAGGCTAGACATAAATCACCCTAGATCATGAGAACATTCTCCAGGCTGTTATGCTTTCCACTTGTTATATTCATGAGACATGCAAAGGAGAGCAGGTGAGATGGCTTACAGTAGAGGTGCTTGCCGCCGAGGCTGATGACCCGAGATTCACACCTCGGACCTACACAGTGGGAGGAGAGAGCCGCTGTCCCCTGACCTGCACATGCCTGTCTTGGCACACTCAGACACACAGACACAAGCTCACACTCATATGCACACAATAAACAAATGTGCCATGTTAAAGGACGGGAGGGAGGGAAAGCAACCGCTCACGGTGTATCTATGTGTGCATGCATACATGTGTACATATGTGTTAATGTACTGATAGGAAATTTATTTTCATGGCTCCTCTTTTGGCACCCAAATTTACTTTTAGTTTAGCTATAACACTGGTCCACAAGTGGCAGTTTTATTAGAAATAACACAAGAACAAAGCCCTTGAACTAGGGAGATCTAGAGATGGCTCAATGCCTAGAGCACTGGTTGGTCTAGCAGAAGACCTGAGTTCAGTTCTCAGCATCCGCATGGCAGCTCACAGCTATCTGTAACTCCGTCTCCAGAGAATCAGACACCCTCTCTAGGCCTCATCAGACACACTGACAAAATGCAGTAATTTTTTTTTAAATCAAAATAAATCTTTATAACAAACCTCAAACTGTTGGGTTATGCACTAATTTAACATGTGTTTTAAACTCCAGATTAGAAGAGTTTAAAAGAGTAAATACTCGTTCTAAGAAACTAAATGTTCCTCTAGAAAAAACAGCATATATACAATTTTACCCAGCTCCGGCCAAGGCAAAGCCGCACAAGTTGAAGGTAAGAGTGTGGGGTTGCCCCCGATGCAATGGGAAGATGGGAAGAAAACTCATTTCGCTCCTGATTTGGTCTTCAGGAAATTGAGTACCAGGACCTGCGATTTCCAACAGATTTGTCAAATCCATTCGCCGTGGCAACAGTCCTAAACCAAGAACCAGGAAAGATGAAGATCAAGGAATTAAAACAAGGTAACAGTCACGTGGTCAGCCATAAAGCAGTCCCTGGGGCAGAAGAGGAGAGAGATGTGTCCAGTCACATTTACTATTAATGAGCAAAACTCAGTTAGCTGTCTGTTAGGCAGCTTGGTTAGGAACTTGTGTTCCTCTGGGCAAATAACTGATTTGATTACGGCCATGATCTCCGCTCCTTCCTGCCTCCAGTCCTGGACCAATGTGATGAATTCTCAAAAACCAGACAGATGAAGGAGGCGCTCTTCGAGCAGAAAGTCAGACAGGACACCCTGGAAGAGAGCAAGAATCATCTTAAATGGTAACTATCCAGGGATACTTGGTTTCGGGTGACAGGGTGACTGCCTGGATGGGATGGCCTTTGACGAAAGAGACACAGTGACAGGCAATTAGTGATAAACTCATGGCGAATTAGATTACTCCTCCTCAGCCAGTGTTTCTGTCTCAGAACGGGGCTATTAGAAATAAATTAACGTAGCTAAGATGTAGGGCAGAACAGCAGGGACCTGTGGGAAGCCTCTGCCTTCCTCCCTGCGTGCTCCCTCAGCCCCTGTCCCCCGACAGACCTGGGGTGACTCAGGTGCCCACATCTCACCCCATGACCCCTCACCTCACAGTGGGGAGTCTGGGGCAGTCCTGGCAGCAGATGTTCAGATGGGAGCATTCTTGAGTGTCTGGGGCTAAATGGACTCTTTCTCCGTACTTAAACTAGAGAGCCAACCTCAGGAGCCTCGTCATGTACTCAGCTTCAGTGAGAGTCGTGAAAACGGGAGCGCTCCCATTTTTTTTCCCCTAGAGAAACATTTGATTTCTTAAAGCACGTATTTAAACCTAAAACATTATCTACTTAATCTTTATTGTGAGTGTGACACACACTATGACACACCTATGAAGGTCAGAGGACAACTTGCAGGACATGGTCCTCTTCTTCCAACATGGAGGTTCCAGAGATTGAACACGGGATGTCAGGCTTGGTGACAAGCCCCTCTTCCTGCTAAGCCATCTCTTCTAATTCAGAGTTCAAATAGATGCTAAATTAAACGTACTAGCCAATAGCACAAGGCTTGAGTCACAGGATTCTGTCACTTAAAACATTTTCAAGACTCATCCACATCTCAGCATGTATGACTAGTCCACACCTTTTGTGGCTGAATATTATTCCATCGTGTGGCTACACCACATTTCAGCCACCAGACTGTTTTCACCAGCAACATAGAAATTTGTGGTTTCTCCACACCCTCAGCAACACTTGCTGCTTTGCATAGCTTGTATCTGCACTTCCATAACTACTAGTAATGCAGGACATTCAGGTGTGTGTATGTACATGTTTATGAGTGCCTGTGTGTGTGTGTGTGTGTGTGTGTGTGTGCGCACATGTATATGTGTGTGCCTGTGTGTGCATGTGGGTGAGAGCTTGCATGTGTGTGTACATGGATATATGTGTGTGCATGTGGGTGAGAGCTCATGTGTGCATGTGAATGAGTGCTTGAGGGTGCATGTGATTGTGTGTGAGTGTGTGTGTGTGTGTGTTTGTGAGTGTGCGTGTGTGTGTATTCTTGTGGAACAAAAGCCAACCTCGGGTGTTCTTCCTCAAGTACCATCCATTTAATATTGTCTGTTTTAAAATTTTACAAATGTTCTTGTTTTGCCTGCATGTTTTTTGGTGCATGTGTGGTACCAGTGAAGGCCAGAAGAGGGCATCAGAGCCCCTGGTGCTGGCGTTACCTTCCCTTGCGAGCTGCCTGGTCCTCTGGGAAAGCAGCCAGTGCTTTTAAACACTGTCCCGCCCCACCCCTCCAGCCCCACCCATTTGTTTTGAGACAAAGCCTCTCATTGGCCTGGAGCTCACCGGTCTAGCTGGCTCTTCCTGGGATCTCTGCACTTCCACAGTGCTGGGATAACAAGAGCTTACCACCACTCCTGCCATCTCGTACAAGGCTCCTGCTCTGGGGATTGAACTCAGGTCATCATGCTTGCAAAGCAAACGCTTTACTGGATGAGGCGCCTCTCAGACCCTTGCTGTGTTAACTCATAGGTATTTCAGCACTGATCGCTAGAAGATCAGCCTCATTTCTTCCGGCATATTGTTCACGCTGAAGGTGCTTCCCTCCAGCTTCTCCCCTTCCTTCTTGGTTATACTGAGACACCCACTGAGAGGATGATTATTTGTGGGCGGCTTCTGGAAACTGGCTTTTTTTTTTTTTTTTTTTTTTTCTCCACAGGCAGGTGCACCGTGGCAAAGATCAAACAACTTTTAAGTTTAGAAAAGAGCTCAATGATGAACGGAGAAAAGCATATGAGAAGTACCAGGTTGGAACAGCTGCTAATTTGATATCATTTGTTTCCCTACATTGTTTCCATCCCCATTGTATGCAAGATGCCAAATCAGGAGGAAAAAAATGTGCAGAAAGCTCAGAGTGCCGCTGCATGGCAGAGCCCTTGCCTAGCATGTGTGAGGTCCAGGTTCAGTTCCCAGTGAGAGAGAGACAGGGATGTGGAGAGGAACGGAGGGAGAGGAGAGAAGAGACTGGGTATAAACTAGGGAAGGCAGGGGCTGATCACACATAAATTGCTGCGTGAAAGTCAGATGTGGCTATAGATGACACAAGAGGCCTATACAGGGTCTGCTGGGGGCATTCAGATGGGGGAAGGCGTCAATCTAAACAGAAAGCAGCAATAAGCTGAGAGAGCTAGACAGACCTTCAGTCGGAGGAGACAACTCCAATTCAGGTGTGGTCTGGGTGAGAGACACGCTCGTCCTGTGGTCTACAGAGCATAAAGGAAGATGAGGGCCCCAAACTGCTGTAGGAGTCACCCAGAGCATGGTGCCACACACAGTCACATGCTGAGGTGCTGGGCTCCAGGCATTGGCGTCTGAACTACAGGGGACCCGGTTCACAAAAAAGCAAAGCTTACTAGTGTGAACCTCGGGTCTCGGTGAGTAGGAAAGATGTGGACATGGTCAATCTAGTTTTTTAAGTATTTATTTTATTTGTAAGTATGTGTGAATGTGTGTGTGTGCGCGTGCACCTGTGAGCGGGGTGCCTGTGGAGACCAGAAGGGGATGTCTGACACCCTGGAGCTGGAGTCCCAGGCAGTTGGGACCCAGCCAACACAACAGTAGAACTTGAACTCGCTCCTCTGCAAGCCCAGGAGCCGGTCTGAACTATGTCACCACCTCTCCAGGCCCTGTGGCCATCCTTTTCGGCATTGCCGCATGACGTCATACAAAGCTCCAAAACCAAGTGTTGGTGTTTTGTGGGACTCACTTACCTGGAACACTCCATGGGGCGGAAGCCAGAGGGCCAGAAGTCCAGGCGCACCTGTCACCTGAAAGAGACAGTTTCGTGCATTTGTCTTTGACTTTAGTGTCTCTATTAATATGAAAATCTAGCAAAAGAGAGACAACCCTGTCAAGGAGGTGGAGTTTCAACGACTCAGGACTGAGCAGAAGAACAAGCGGGTCGTCCGCAACTTGGAGGAGGTGGGTAACTTCTCTACGTTTCCAAAGGCAGCAAGGACTGTCATAAAAATGCCTACACTCGGCCAGTGGTCGGCTTTAGTTTGCTCGTGTTGTCAGAGCGCTGTTTCACTGTGCGCCTGGGTCTTCTCCTGACTGAGAACCCAGGGAGCCTGCAGAGGCAGCTGCGTGGGGAAGGGGGTGCGCTGCTCACTGTCCACATCAGGCAGCTCAAACCCTCCTGCAGCTGCAGCTCCAGCGGATCCGATGCCCTCTCTGAACTTTACCGCACCTTGCTCACAGGAGCACACAGCTGGCACATAATTTAGAATAAAATAAGTCTGGTTTTGTTTTGAGGGTTTTTCTTAATATTTGCATAAACTTATTTTTACTTCATTTGCAATGGTGTTTTGTCTGCATGTATGTTTGTGGGCGAGTGCCAGATCCCCGGAAGCTGCAGCTACAGACAGTGGTGAGCCACTGGGTGGGTGCTGGGAACTGAACCCAGGTCCTCTGGAAAAGCAGCCGGCACTCTTAAACTGCTAAGCCATCTCTCCAGTCCTTGTTTTTTAATTTTTTTAGGGAAGTGAAGGTTTTATTTGGCTCGCAATTCTTGATCGCACTCTATCTTCACGGGGCTCAGGGCAGGAGCTCACAGTCAGGCTCTTCCACACAGCACAACCTCTGACCACAAACTCACTTCACAGCCAAAAAAGTACATGAGAATCCGTGGAGGAGGATGCTTGCTAGTTGATCACGGTGAGGCACTCAGCTAGCGTCCCTAAACAATTCAGGACCACCTACTTAAAGATGATGGTACCCCCGGTGGGCTGGGCCCTCATATGAATTGACAATCAAGACAAGTCCCCCTCAACACACACACACACACACACACACACACACACACACCTGCCCACATGCCAGTCTGATCTAGGTGATTCCTCAGCTGAGACTGTCTTCTCAGATAACTCTGGGGCATGGCAAGCCACAGCTAACTAGGATACCACATACTTGCCAGTCCCATGTCAAACCTTAATAACTCTGGTCTGAGGAGATGGCTTGGTTGGTAAGGTGCCTGCTTTGCAAACTTGAAGACATGAGTTTAATCCCGGCACCCACACAGAAAGCCAGATACGGCAGCATGTGCCTATAACCCCAAGCACTGGGGATACAGAGACAGTCTATCCAAATAAGTGAGCTCCACGTTTGGAGGGGGGGGAGGGGGGGACTCTGTCTCAGAAACTGGAGAGAGATGGCTGAGTGATAAGAGCTGTAGAGGTTCTCAGCCCGATGACCAAGGTTGAACTCCTAGCACCAACATGGCCCTTTCAGAGAGTGGACCCAGGTCATCGGGCATGGCAAGAAGCACTGGTACTCTCAAGAGCCACCTTGCCGCCCCTGGGTCCACTTGTTTTGAGAGAGTCTTGCTAAAGTAAGCCAGTCTCACCTCAAACACATGATGATGCTCCCACTTCAGCCTCCTCCTGAGTGCTGGGGTTACAGTCATGAAGTACCACCCCCAGCCAGAGGTCAAACTCTAAAACACTGAATACTCACGCCAGAAGAGTTTCTGTTTAAATGTTAGATGTGCCTGTGTCTTTTAATTCACAGAAAGTCCAGGAATTTCACCCTAATTTTGACCCACTAGTTAACAACATGTGGCTCAGCAGATTCCGGGCACAAAGACGGTTTCAGCAAGCGGCGCGCAAGGTAACTCCCGCTCTAGGCTGCCTCCTTTTCTTGACTTAAGTGATCAGCAGGGGGAGATCAAATAATGGCTTTTTAGGAATGGCACATTAGAGATGCCATTCATGCTGTGAAAATTACCTCTGTAAACTGCACTATTGGATAAGTTTCTAGTTCCCTTCCAGTTGCTGTGAAAAAACACTTACCAAAAGCAACTTGGAGGAGGAAAGGGTTTCTCTGGCTGACACTTCCAGGTCACAACCCATCAGGAAGGGAGTCAGGGCAAGAACTGAAGCAGAAACCACTGAGAAATGCCGCTTGATGGCTGCCTCAGGTTCACGCTTCGCTGTGGGGTGGATCTTCTGCCATCCAGTCTTCCATAGGTCAGCCTGACCTGGGGAACCCCTCTCAGACTCCCTTCTCGGCTAGGCTGGAGTTAAAGCCAGCCAGGGTAGTAATGTTCTCCCGCAGTCACGTGGTCGGACAGCCATCATTGCTATGTAGTACTTACTTACTTACTTACGTATTTATTTATTTATTTACTTACTTACTTGGTGAGGGACTATACTCCAGGGGAGCCTTGAACTCAGTGATTCCCCTGCCTCCACCTCCTGAATGCTGGGATTACAGGAGTGCACCACTACACCAGGTTTATATTATGGATGAGACCTGGGGCTATGAGCAATCCAGGCAAGCTCTCTACAGACTGAGCTACACCCCTGCCTGCTACCTAGTTTCAGAACATTTTTATTATGCAGAAAGGACCCTAGAAGTCCCTTCCCAGGCCCTTCCTCCCTGGGCTTCTGGAGCCACGAAATCTGCATTCTGTCCTTATAGACTTGGCTTTTCTGGACATTTCATGTAAATGGAATTATACAGTGTGTGGCTTTTTCTAACTGGCTCCTTTGACTTATATCAAGTTCACTGGTGTCCTAATGAGCACGTCACTCTTTTTTATCACTGTGTAATATTCCACTGTTGGGATAGACTGGGTTTTATGTGTTCACGCACTGATGGGCGTCTCAGCAATTTTCAGCACTTGGCTATTCCAAGCAATGCTGCTATAAACATTCATAGAGAATTTAGTGAACACCTGACTCTTTTCCTGCTCTCCAGGGTATACACATCCAGGAGAGGAACTGAGTCTAAAGCAACAGGATATGGGGTAATTGTTTCATGGAGAATGGGGAATTTCAGAGGTGACACTGGGCTCACTGCTTCCCCCTCAGTCACCTCCTGCTGTGTCTCTCCTTCATAACTCTCTTCTACCGAGCGCTTTGGCTTAAGCATGAATCCAGATCCTGGCCCCCGGGTATGAAGTCAGGCATGGCAGTGTGCTTATAATCCTAATGTTAGAAAGGCTGCAACAGGATGACTCTGAGCCTCCATGGCCGGCCCTAGCCAAATCTGAGAGCTCTGGGTTCAGTGAGACCCTGTCTCAAAAGATAAGGTAGAGACGCGATTGTTGACGATTCCCAGTATCAACCTCTGGCCGCCGTGAGCACATGTATGCTTGCACACACATGTACACATACACATGCGTGAACACGTACACATACCACACCACACAAAACAGGAAAGTGGGAAGGAAGGATGAAAGCCTCTGGAGCTCTAATACAGTAAAGGAGTGAGGTGCCAAGCCTGACTGCACACGATGACCTCTACCCTGTCCTAGCCTCATCTCCCAAGAACAATCATTTCCTACTATTGACCCGAGTTTCTCTTCCTCCCCTTATGGCTCGCCCCTGTCCTTCCCAACTGGAGTCTACCTGTCTCAAAAAGAACAACCCTTCTGATCTTAACCCCAAAGGACACGCTCAGCCCCTCTGGCATCTCAAGCCACCTGCATCTCTCTCATCTCTCCAGTTTTGAGTGTGGCTCCCCTAGGGGACAAAACCAGACACAAGCAAGGGGGAACAATGATTTAGAGCCGGTGTGATATTCAGCTGAAGCAATCAACTTAAAACAAAAGAAGGCATGTGTTGGCTCAGTGCCAGGGTGTCATTCCATTGCACAGAGCATTGTGAGGAGAGCCTGCTGGAGCCGAGCTGCTGTCCCCGTGACAGCCGGGAGAACCATGCGTCCGTCTCTCTCCAATTCCAGGTCATGCTGGAACGAAGGTTGCTCCTTATGCTGGGGGCTGTCCGAGAGATGGACAAAGAGGACATCATAAGAAAGCTGGCCCAAGCCAATCGCTCACTAGCCCACGGTAAGTACCGCTGAGGGATGCTGGTAACCATGGCCCCTTGGAGCCCAAGGTCTTCCTGTCAATGTCAAAGCTCATCATTAATCCTGCGCATCAGCTTCCCGTTGCCTTTATAACAAACCAATACCAACCTCATGGCTTAAAGTTACACACATTCAGCGATGGGGCGATGGCTCAGTCAGACCACTGACCTCAAAAATGTGAGGACCTGAGTCCCACCCTGACAGCCACGTGAAAGGCTGAGTGCAGTCCTCCCAGTGACAGCGAGCTGGGAGACAGACACAGCAAGGTCCCGAGCTGCTCCCCAGCCACTCTCCAGGCCACTGGGAGGCCCTATCACAATCAGAAGTAGAGCGCACCTGTCCTCCAGCCTCCACATGACGTGCACAGACATACACATGTGTGCACACGTGAACACACAGTGTCACAGCTCCTGGGAGACCAGGCGTTTAAAACCAAGGCATCAGCGGGCTGGTTCCTTGTCTTGTCAGCTGTAGCTGGAAGCTGCCTGCTTCTCTTGGCTCCTGGTCTCTTACTCCAGGAGGCCTAATTTACTTCCACCTGCTAACTGTTCCCTTTCATCACATGTGAATTACCATCCTTGGGAATGGAGCTATGGGTATCTGGAGCGGGGGAGCATCCCCAAACCTACCTCTGATCAGCACGGCAGCCTTGGCCTATGCGCCTTCCCAGTTGGTCACCACGGTCTGCCTACCCTAGACCGAGTTGTAGCATAGGTGAAGACGGCCATGGCTTGATCTCTTCCTGTCTGTTGCCACTTCTTGTCAGCAGAGATGCGCGCAGGCTTGCCATTTACAGCTGCTGAGTGATTGAATCTGTTGTATGCTCAACCTAGCATTTGCACCCAAAGTTTAGGCCTCAGACGGTCTCTTAGGACATTCTAATCGTTGGGCCTAGGAACAAAGTGCAGTCAGACTTGGCTTGCAAGCATGACGACCAGTATCTGATTCCCCAGAGGCCAAATAGAGAAGGCCAGGCATGGAGGCACGCGTGCATAGTCCCAGCGCAGAGGGAAGGAGGCCTGGCGCTTGCTAGTGGGCCAGCCTCCCCTACTTTGCAAGTTGCAGACTGTCTCAAAAAACAAAGGGACAGCACCCGAGGAGCCCTATGGCCTCCACGTGCAGACACCCACATGAACACACCTACATACTTGCACATACATGCGTACCCATATGAACATGCACATACTCAATCAAGAGAGGAAGGTTAAAGGAGAGAGAGAGAGAGAGAGAGAGAGAGAGAGATTCATTCTAACCCTCTGACCCTCTGTTCTACAATGAATGATTCTGTCTCTAAGAATCAAAAGCCATGTCATTGTTTTCTCCCGGTAGATGTATTTCCAGTCTGCGGCTCACAGGAAGGGCCTCCTGCCCTCCACCAGGCCAGCCTCCATCACTCCCCCACCTCCCCAAACAGTCAACCATCTCTCCAACTTCCCTCCCTCCCAAAATGTTTTTCTGCATTTTAATTAATCTTTTGTTCCTCCTTTAGTATTTTATTTCTAATAATTAAAATTTCTGACAGTGTTCTTTTTTAAAAAAAACAGTAGACTTCCCATGAAATCGCATGTGGTTATCTCCAGAACCACATGAATTTACTTTGTTAAATTCATCAGAGTTATTTTAAGTGAGATTTTAGCCTCAGGGGACAGCAGTTCTTGCTGAGAGTTTGTTTCCCAGCACTCAGGCAGCGCACAAGCACCTGTGACTCTTAATGCTGGGACGCCATCTTCTGGCCTCCTTGGGCACTGTACTCATATGCACAAATCCAAACACATAGTGTAAAATAACAATAAAATCCACTTATATAAAATAAAATTTTAAGAGAAGTGTAACTTAATAAGCAAAATGAAATGAAAATTTAAAACTAAAGGAATCCAGGGGTGGTGGTGCATGCTTTTAATTCCAGCACTCCAGAGGCAGCAACAAAAAGAATCCTAAATTGGAGGCCAGCCTTGTCTATAGACCGAGTTCTAGGACAGCCAGGGCTACACAGGGAAACCCTGTGTTTTAATTAATTAAGAAAAATAGCACTGACAGTGTTGCTTAGTAGAGTACTTGCCTAGCATTCCTGAAGCCCAGGGTTTCCTTCCTAAAGCCCCATAAACTAGCATGATGACCTTCCCCTGTAACCCCAGCATTTGGGAGGTGGAAGCAGGAAGATCAGACATTCAAAGTCATCCTTAGCTACATAGTAAGTGCAAGGCCAGGCTGGGTTCCATGAGACCTTGTCTCAAAATGAGAGAGGGAAAGACAGGGAAACTAACAGTGAACAGATATATTGCATATGTGTATGTGTAAGCAAGCATGCTTGAGTATACATAAGTCTGAATAGTCTTTCTAAAGCCTATATTAGCATGTATTAATTATCCATAATAATTATTTTCAATATGACATTTTCAAACATATTCACCCCATGGCCGTCTTTTTCATCGTTCTCCCCACGTCTGCACATCCCTCCTTTCCAACGAACCCCCGCTTCTGCATTCTTGTGTGTGTGTGAGAGAGAGACTGGTGTGTGCTGTGTGTGACGTATCTGTGGTGTGGAGTATGTGTGCATGCCGTGTACTGAGTGTGCATTACGTGGCAGAATGGGTGTGATATATGTGTATGTCTATGTGGCATGTGCTATGGGTTGTGTGTCATAAGTTTGTTGTGTATGTGCATGTGCATGTATTGGTGTGTGGGGTATTGCATGTTTACATTTTTGTACGTAGTGTGTGCTGTGTGTGTTGTGTGTGGAATGCATGGATCTGGAATGTCTTTTGAGTATATGTGTGTGTGTGCATTAAACGTGTGTGATGTGTGTGTGTTTGGCATGTGCTGTGTGTGTTGCCTATGCTGGTGTGTGTGTGTGTGTGTGTGTGTGTGTGTGTGTGTTTGGTGACCCAATACATTTAACTAGGGTTGTTTATAGGAGCACGGCATCTTATCAGTCACCACGCTATCAAAGAAAATAAACACAAATGTTCCGCTGCACGTGGCATTTGGTAAGTACACAACTCCAGTTGCTGTGTCGCATAGCAATGTCCTGTGAAGGGCCTAAACATGCTTGTTTTTCCCCAGGTGAGAACCCCTTCAGGTCCCTGCAGATCCTAATGAGTCAGGATGACTACCCCTGGCACTACTCCGTGCGGCCCGAGGACGTGCTGCCCTTCGCCTTCCCGATAGACTCTCAGAGCTACAACGAGATGGTGGGTGCCTCTCCTCTGTGGGGGGAGCAGCTGGATCCCACGGGTGCGGACAGATTGCTGGACAAGCCAGCTCGCTGTCTGTGCACCTCCTCTGAGAGGCTGTGAGTGAGGCTTGGGCCCACAGAACTGTGAGCAGTAGGAAACGGGGATCACCCGCTGCCGTGGGCCACATGCCTACTGTTCCCAGGGCTACCTGGAGGAGCTCCTGGTCCCTGGGGCTGCTTGCTTCCAAGTGGGAAGCCCACCTATTGCCCTGGGCACTGGACCCAAGAGAAAATGGGAAGACAGGACAGAACGCCCACCTGGCCTGTGCTCAGATGAGCCTCCTGGCCCGGCAAATGGAAAGCCAAGATAACAGCAGCTGGTCGGAGCCCAATATGTTAAGGAGGGCATGTGGTCCCAGAACCAGACAAGCTAACCATCAGGCTTAGAATCCCACCACTCCACCCCATCTCTCTCTTGGAGTATGACAGTGCCTCTTCCCTCATGGGCATGATGATTCATTATAATAAAAATGATAGTTAACTGATCTGGAAACATAGCACAAAAACCTCGGTTTGATTTTCAGAGCCCAGGTTAAAAAAAAAAAAAAAAAAAAAAAGGCCAAGTGTGGTAGCATGTGTAATCTCAGTGCTGGGGAGGCATAGACAGGCAGGTCCTTGGGGCCCACTGGTCAGCCAACGGAGATGAATCGGTGAGTTTCCAGCAAAGTGAAAGGTCTTTTGTTTAAAAAAGAGTAGAGGGCAGGACAGATGGCTCAGCAGCCAAGGCCACTGCTGCTCTTCCAGAGGGCCCAAGTCTGGTCCCCAGCACCCATGTAGGCCCAGCTCTGGGAAATCCAATGTCCTTCTCCCGACTCACAGAGCACCCACACCCCTATGACATATGCTGACACAGACACACAGACACACAGACACACACATACTAAAAGTAAAAAGAACCCTTTAAAAAAAGTATAAAGCAGTTCTGAGGAACAGTACAGCAAAGGCTGTTTTCCGTCCTCCCGTGCTTGGGTGTACATATGTGCCAGCTCACATATCAACGCACACATCAATGGTAATAATAGTAAAATAGAAATAATGATAATAGCTAATTAACCCTTACATGGCACTTACCGCAAGTCGTGTCTTAAGGGCTTTGGTTGCTAGACTTCATCAATTCATGCACATTTTCATGCATGCATTTTTAAACATTTAGCAAATTAAAAATCGAGATAGCTCTTTTAAAAGACAGCATGTTAGCACTGGCCATATCCATATCCATATCCATATCCATGGAACAAGAGAAAGAATGATATTTGCTGGGTGTGAATATACCAGGCCCTGCCCCAGGGTCTCTGGGTGCCTGAGGCAGATGGCTTTGCAGGAAGCTCTCTGGGGACCAGCACCTTCAGAAGGCCAGCAAAGAGGTGGGACCTGGCTAGAGAAGTGGGATGGAGCAGACACACTTAGGGTGGGTCTCCCACTTCAGAGAACCTGGTCAGGGAAGCCCCTCCCAGTGAGCCCAGCGGCCTCGATCCTCCTTGATTGTGGATCCAGTCAGGTTGACAACCAGGATTAACTATCCACAGAAGAGCACGCCATAGCCTGTGATAGCCCGTAAGATTCACACACAAAAAGACACAATAGGGTGGGGGCTGCCTTTGTGCCTTCAGCTCAGAGAGCAACTGTGGTCACAGGAAGAGCTGTTTTGAGCATAGAACTATTCAGGTAACGTTCAAAACATAGTGAAAACACATACACAGTTGTTTATGTTCACAGATGTTTATCTGTCCTTTCATGTTTTTGTTTTTTTCATTTTCACATGTAGACTCTTGATGGCCTTGGACTAATCCCAGTTAAACCTTCAGATGTTCAAATCAGGCACAGTTATCCCTACTTCAGTTTAAAGGTGAGTTCTGCATATAATGCAAATCATTCAGGTCGCTTATAGCTGTCATCTGTCTGTCATCTGTCGATCACTGGGGAGGCACGCATGCCACGGTGCATGTGTGAAAGTCAGGGGACAACTTTTGGAGGTTGGTTCTCTCTTTCTACAGCGTGAGTCCTAGAAATTGAACTCTGTTCATCAGGCGCAACGGCAAGCACCTTAACACACTGAGCCATCTCACTGGCCCGTGGCTTTCTTACGAAGTAAGCAAAATAGGCCCAAGTTGCATTATTGAATTGCATTAGTTTGCTAGTATCGCTCAATTCTGGCTTATGTGGAGTATTTCCTCTAGTCCGTGTTTTCTTTATTATTTGATGGTGTGTTGAGCACACCTCGGCTTCTTTTTCTCTAACGAGTACAGAAGCTGATTCTTCCCGGTGGGTAGGGTGTACATTATGCATATAGGAAGCCCCACATCTATTGGAAACCTCAGGACACAAGTTATCAGGCTTTCCTTTCTTCCTTCCTTCCTTCCTTCCTTCCTTCCTTCCTTTTTTCTTTCCTTCCTTCCTTCTTTCCTTCCTTCCTTCTTTCTTTCTTTCTTTTCCTTTTTGGTTGTTCAAGACAGGGTTTCTCGTATAGTCCTTGCTGTCCTGGAATTCACTTGGTAGACCAGGCTGGCCTTGAACTCAGAGATCCACCTCTCTGCCTCCCACGTGCTGGAATTAAAGGTGTGTGCCACCACTGCCTAGCTAGTCAGCTTTCTTGACGTGTAGGACCACTTTTGCTTTTGAAAGTGAAAATATGTTTGTGTATGTCTCCAGTGAAGCCATCTGGCATGAGAAAATAATTTTTTGAGAAAACAATTTGAGTACTGACATGTGCCAATACTTAGCACAAGGCTCAGGACTGGCTTTATTAGGCAGCTGTTGTTGAGACAGTAATCTCACCAAACTATAATGGGCTCTTGTGGGCCATTTTTTTTTAAAGAAAATACAAATGCTTGTTCACTCTAGAGAGGGCACTGATGACAGACCAAAGAAATTATTTCTTCCAGTCTAGCTTAATCATCCAGGATGTTTATTAGGATTATTGACAGATGCATGGGTGAGCGACTGTGTGTAGGAACATGGACCACTCAAAGCATCTGCATCACGGAAATCCCACATTGTCATAAGTGAGGACTCACCGAAGCTGCATCTCCAAAGAACCCTGTACGATTTGCAGGCTGCTTAGCTAATCAGAGAGTCTCTTCACCCCAGGAACTGTTCGTCTTGGAGAGGAGATTTTTGTGAATCTTGTAAGGTTCAGGAACTTGAGACTTGGGAGTTTGCTTTACTACCTGAGCTTCAGTGAGCCTTCCTCCAGGAAGGAATGTTTCCATTTGAAGGAAGTAGCTCTACAAAGCAGGCTTTTAAGTATCAACAATCTTCTTTCATTTTTCAGGTTCCTCAGTTATACAAAATCAAGGGCTATCAGCCATTTTCTGTCAACAAGTCCGCAACATGTCACAAACTTCAGAAGCTTGCTCGGCCCCTGAAGCAAGGTGCTGAGGTAATGCATCTGCAACTTCTAGAACTGCTCTCACTATTCGTGTCCTACTGTGAACACTAACAGGCCATTGAGCTGGAAGGATGACTGAGTGGTTAAGAGCATTTGTTGCTCTTGAGGAGAACTCAGGCTTGATTCCCACCACAGGTGTGATGGCTCACAACCATCTCTAACCCCAGTTCCAGGAAATCCACCAGGCATGCACATGGTACACATGCATGCGGCAAACATTCATGCACATAAAGCAAATGAATAACTCTTTAAGAAACCAGTAAGACTAACAGGCTGTTCTTGGTCCTTACACAGGATGAAGTCACCATCATAGCTCTACCTAAGCAGACCACCACACAGCTCTCGGCAAAGCCCAACCTCTTGAACATGAAACCACCCAGTGGCTTAGCCATGTCTGTAGAATATGATCCTTTGTATATTTTTGTAAGTACCAATTGGCAGATGCCCATGTTCTGTGTTTCTTTATTTCAGCAATTACCTTACAGGAAGGTACAGAAGCATGGGTAGAAAATCTATTTTCTTTTTTTGTTTTAGTTTTTTATTTCTTTACTAAATATTTGTGTTTACTTTTGATATTTATTTCTGTGTATGCTAGGGGGTGGGGACAGGAGAGGACATCAGACCCCTCAGAGTTGGAGTTCCAGTGTTTATGAGCATCCATTTGAAGGAAGCATCCTCCAATGTGGATGCTTGGAGTTGAACTCTAGTCTTCATGGTAAAGCAAGAAATGCTCCTCGTGACGTCAGCAAATCTACATAGCACCTAATGAAGCTATTAAGCTGGAAAATGCATATATAGAGATTGTGATGTTGGAAAGACAACTGAAGCTCTGCTTCTGTGCTCCAGTTGTCTAGAAAGTTGCCATGGATTCCTATTGTTAGTGCTAGTGGGAGCCACAGAGAGCATTGCTGACGCCTGTCTCATGCCTGGTGTGAAGATGGGTAAACACCATCAATCTGGTCTTCCTCTCTTCCGCAGAACCCCAACCCAGGACTGTTTGCTGTGAAGCACCCTCTGACTTATGCAGAAACTCTGATAGACTACCATCTGTGCTCTCACCCCAAGTACAAGTTCACTCAGGAGACCCACGTAGGATCCAGCATTCCTGTTACCCAAAAACACTTTCTCCATCATAAGGTAACGTCAGTCAGCCCCAGGATCCCTTGGCAGAGCTGGCTCAGCTCTTGGTCTCCTTTTTATCCAGTCCGGGATCCCAGCCCATGGAATGCTGCTGCCCACAGTTAGGGCGGGTCTCCCTGCTTCAACTCATCCAGTTTTTGAAAAGAGACAGTCCCTGAGGTGTGTCCCCCTAGGTGCCTATAGATGCTGTTAACAGTCAGGCACCCCCTTTTCACACCCTGCCCCGCACCACCTTTCACCGCAGGATATAATTCCTGGAACCATGAACTGGAAGAAGTTCCAGCCCCTGGTGTTCTCCTCCTTCTCTGACTCCCCAAGGACGGAAACCACTCAGAGGTAAGCTGGGAAGTGGCTGGCCTCCCGGGGTGTGTTTGCACTGTAGATTACAGAGGCCGGGAGGCCTGGAGACTGGGGTTAAAGGCTAGCCTTGACAAATCACACTTTCATACGTGAGGGAGGGGCCTGCCTATCAGGGAGATACAATGAGAGACAACTGGTTTCCATATTCTGAATTTATCTTAATCAAGACATACCTTTTAATGGTAATATAATGCGGGCTAATTGGCAGAGCTTCAGCAGATAGAGAACTAGCTGCTCATATAATTCTGCTGAAATATCCATGTCTATTTTTCTTTTTGGTATGTGTGTGTTTACCTATGTGCATCCGCTTATGGAGACCAGAAGACAATCTTGAGTAGTTTTCATCAGAAACTGCAACTTCTTTCTTTCTTTTTCTCTTTCTTTCCTTAATTTAATTTAATTTTAGATAAGGTCTTTCATTAGCACCTGAAGCTAGCTGATTCCACTAGCCAACCATTAGTCCAAGGGAGCCTCCTGTCTCTGCTTCCCTCCACTCTGGGGATACGGATGTTCACTACCAAACCCAGCTTTTTAAAGTGTGTTCTGGAGCTAGAACTCAGGTTCTTGGGATTAAATTTAGGTCTGCAAGCTTGCATGGCAAACACTTTATATTGAGTCATTTCCAGGACCCTTATGCAGTATATTCTCCATTACAAAGTGGGGGCAGTGATGACATCGTCACTGGGCTGTTCCAAATGGCTGCATGAAAAAGTGTCTAGGATCTGCCTGGTGCATGCTTTCAGTAACTTTTCGACTTTCCGCTAAGCTCACAGACGTGTGCAATCATTCTCTTACCACTAGATGGCAGCAGCAGCCCCCTAAATTAACTCATTTTGCAGGAAGACTGGAAGGCTTTCATTTCTGTTGCTGACACAAAGCACCTTAGGGAAGAGAGGGTTTGTTTGGGTTGCAATTCCAGGTTATGTTCCATAACCACAGGGAAGTCAAGACAGAAGCTTCGAGCACCATCACATCCACAGTCAAGAGCAGAGACAGAATAGAGTCCTTGCTCGTTTGTTCTCAGCTAGCTTTCTCCTCTCGTAGAGTTGAGGACCTGCTGCCTAGGGAATGGCGCCACCCACAGTGGGCTGGGTCTTCCTACATCAATAACAATCAAGAGCTCCTCCAGTACACACACAGGCAGGCTCACAGACAAATCTGATGTAGAATCATATGGTAGCTGGGGCATAACCCAGGAGTAAAGTTCTTGCCTAGCATCTCACCCCTGCAGTAGAAAAAAGTGACTTGTAATCAGTAAACTAGACTCAGCAGTGTCCGGGATTGTGCCTGGACTCCAGTGCACCCACTGTTAACAAACATGGATTGCAAGCATTAAGCATTAGCCAATTCATCTTTCCAAAGCAATGTCCTTAGAAGCATCTCCCAAAGCTGTTCTTTTAGTGGGAAGTCAGGAGGGAGTTGTTGTGACCCTGAATAGCCACACATTAAACATGAAGGTCACCTCAAGGAAAACACTCCTGCCATGACTTTTTGCCTTTAGCTTCTGTGCCTGACTGTTCTGTTTGGGCCACTTTGTTTCAGATAAACTGCCTTTGCATACCAGCTCAAAAATCAGGAGCAGGGCCAGGTGGGGGTGAGCTCAGCTGCTAGAGTCCTTGTGTAACACGCATAAAACCTTGGACTGCGTCCCAGTGCTGTAGAAACTGGAACAGGTGGCACACATCTGTAATCTCCGCTCCGGGAGGTGGAGGCAGGAGGACCAGGAGTTCTAAGTAATCCCCCGCTTCATCGTGAGCTCAAGGCCAGCCTGGACTACCTGAGACCTTGTCTCAAAAGAAAACAAATCTTTATTCTTTTTTATTATGGGTTTATACTGGTTGTTGTGCTGAAGGGCATGCTCTTGTTTCTAAAAGCAGTTACAAACAATAATGGTAATTATTTTTGTAAATTCTGTATTAATCCATTCAGGGTGCTATAACAAAATGCTACATTCTCCATAGGTTATAAACAGCACTATATTCCTCATAAGTCAAGGCACCAGGCAGATGTTGTGTCTGATGAGGGCTTATTTTCTGGTTCACAGACAGGACCTTCTTTTCTATTTTTATTTATTTCACGTGTATGTGGGAACGGTACACTCAGGCCACATCACATATGTGGAAAACAGAGGACAGCTGGCAGGAGTCTGTCCTCTCTTCCCACCAATAAGTCCCAGGATTCAACCCATGGCATCAGGCTTGGTGGCAGGAGCCATGTTGCCGGCCCGGAAGCCTTCTTGCTGTGACCTCCAATGGTTTTGTCTCCACACAGCATCACTTAGGAGTTGGTTTCTATGTAGGAATCAGAAGGAGACAGACACCTTTAAACTCCAGTAAGTTCTGCAAGTCCAGGTTTTATCCTGGAGGGAAAGGAGCAGGCCACAGTGCATTTGTGGAGGTCAGAGGGAAGTTTGCAGGAGGCAGTTCTCTCCTTCCACCATGTGGCTTCTGAGGATCAAACTCAGGTGGCCAGCCTTGGCGGCAAACACCTCTCCCTGCTGATCCATCTCACCTGCTGTCCTCCCCACAGTCGTTTTGTATCATAAGAATCAAAGGAGTGTTGAGGAGATGGCTCAGCATATAAAGTAAACGCTTACTAAAGAGGCACAAGAACTTGAACTCAGATCCCCAGCATTCAATCCACAGCACATCTCTGCAGTCCCAGTGGTGGGAAGTGAAGTCTGTGGATCCCTGAAACTCTTGAGCAAATAATCCAGCCAAATCTGTAAAGTCTTGTCTCAAAAACTGAGGGCACAGAGCAATCAAACTCTGTTCTCACACGAGTGTGCACACTTTGCACATTTCACCTACATGCACATGTGCACATATCCACACAAGCGCGCGCGCGTGCGCGCACACACACAGTCAAAGCAGTTCACTAATTTTATCATTGCTCTCTGGTAGACTAAGAGTGTTCAGCCTCTGCAGACATCCATGAAATCTAAGCATGAACAACACCCAAAGAAATTCCCTAGTCTGGTAATTCCCGAGTTTACCGATCTTACAGACAAGTCAAGTGCTCAGAACAGCTCCAGGAAGTGGCTTGTTATCACTTGGACTTAAGCAAGGACATGAAAATGAAACAAAACAAACCAAATTCAAACACCTGATCACCATCTACCACTATCCCCATTTCAAGAATAGAAGAAAATGTTACCACACACACACACACACACACACACACACACACACAAACAAACACACACACACACACAAAGGGAAAAGTTTTACATTTACATTTTTATTCTATGAAATTCTCTCATTTGCTACCTCATCATCACTCCAGACAGGTATGGACACTGGAAAGGGTCCAGCTCCCCACATCCCCTTCCTTCTTCTGGAAGAACCCATTCTGTTACAGGAGTTCTAATGTTTGGGTGGAATTTTTCACTAGTGCACAGGTTAGGGGTCTGGAGAAGTGACTTGGCAGTTAAGAGCATGATGCACTCTTCCAGAGAACACAAGTTCAGTTCCCAGCATCCGTTCACAACTGCCTGTAACTCCCAGCTCCAGGGGACCCCAAGCTCAGTTGGTAGGCTGCTTGCCTAACGTGCACAAAGCCCAGGGTACTGTACCCAACACACAGCAAAAACCAGCACAGCAACGTGCTCCAGGCCTGTAATCCTAGCAGGAGGTAGAAGCAGGAAGATCAGAAGTTCAAGCTCCTCCTCAGCTGAGTGTGAGTTTGAGGCTTATGTGGCATATATGAGGCCCTGTGTCAAAACACAGCAAATCGCACAAAAGCCAGTGTGAGTGCTGCTGCATCTGTGGTCCTCACTGCTTGTGTCATTTTCCACAGAAATGACTGGTACAGTTCCCTGATGCTACCCACAGATGTCCCTACCCTGCTAGAAGCCTTACCCGAAGAAGACAGATTGGAAAGTACTGAGCGGTATTCTTCTGATTTTACTTTGGGGAATTTAGTGTGTGAGGTGCTATGTTTCCATGTGAGGTGCTGTAAGGGGTTGTTGGAGAACACACAGCACCTGAGAGTTTCCTCAGAAGGAGCAGGTAAGGCTGAGCCCAGCTGTGCCCAACTCGTGGTACAGAATAGACTCTCCTGGAAGTTGGAGACATGAGGATCAGGGAGATGGCTCGGTTAATAATGTGCTTGACATCAAGCTTGAAGACCAACTTCAGATCCTCAGCACACATATGAAAAGCTGGGCGTGGGGCCAGAGAGATGGCTCAGGTGGGTGCTCCTGCAGAGGACCCAGGTTTGACCCCAGTCCCCACATGGCAGCGCACAAACACTTGTAACTCCGATTTGGGGATCCACTGCCGCCACCACCTTGCCTCTGTGGGTGCCAGACAGATGTAGTACACACGCATGCAAACAAACACTGATAAATTGGGAGGGGGGAGGAAGCCAGCCACAGTGGCCCACACCTACAACCCCAGTGCTGAGGCTGAGGTCATGGACACGATCAGATTCTTGGTGCTTACCAGCCAGTCGGTCTAGCTGCATCAGGGCACTCTGGGTTCAGAGAAGGGTCCTGACGCAGTCAATCAATCAGTCAATAAAGGTAGAGATCAGTAGAGGAATACATCTGACACTGACCTCAGGACTCTCTGTGCATGCACACACTCACATACACACAAGAAATATAATCTGGGAGCAAGGTATTTGCTTTTCCTTTCACTAATCCAGCAACTAGTGAGCATTCATCCTTCAATCTATCTAGAAACCCAGCAGCAGACAAAACGGGAGGGATGAAGTAGGCGGACTCAGGCTCAGGCCCAGAGCAGTCTCTGTACTGTGAGCCCTTTGGTGTGACGCCCAGACACCACCTGGGGCAAGTGTGTGTGTGTGTGTATGTGTGTGTGTGATGTCCAGTTTCTGAGGACTGAACTCAGATCCTCATGTGTATGCAGCAAACGCTGAGCCATCTTCCCAGCCCTGGTTTTCATTCTTAACCAACCCAAACTTTCCTGATCTGAATTCTACCATAAGTCACCACAAAACAAAACAATCCTGCTAGCTCCGATAGCCACTGGTAAGCACTCCTCAGTGTCACAGACCAGGATCCAGGCCAGCCTGCTCACTGAGCACAGGAAATGGTTTGTCGTCACCTGGAGCAGCATCTCCTACCCAGTACACACTCAAAAATATTACTTGTGACAAACACATACTGTCTGGATAGTCTCAGCACATTTCCATGCAAGATTATCAATTAGGGAATCCTAAATATCTGAAGGCATGTAGCCAGTTCCTCTGACACCTGCCCACGTGCTCTGAATGCTGACAGAACACGAGCATGCACACTTGGAAGTAAGAGCTACAAAGGAAGATTGAAAGTTCTACCCAAAGCACAGCCCAAGGTCTTTCCTTTTTGCTTTTGTTATTGTTGTTTTTTGGCTTTGGATTTTTGAGACAGGGTTTCTCTGGGTAGCCCTAACTGTCCTAGAACTTGCTCTGTAGACCAGGGTGTGCGTGTGTGTGTGTGTGTGTGTGTGTGTGTGTGTGTGTGTGTGTGTGTGTAGGCACACAAGTTCCACAGTATATGGGGATATCAAAGGTCAGATTGTGGAGTCAGTTCTCTCCTTCCCTCACCTGTGCCCCAGGGATGGACCTCAGCTCTCCAGACCTCGTGGTGAGCACCTTTACCTGTTGAGCTCTCTCTCTAGCACACGTAGGAGACCCTTTCTTGAGAGTACTGCAGGATGCTGTACTTGTCCCTACTTGATTCAGGCTGAGAAAGAGTCCTGTCTGGCCCTCCCCTCTTAAGGAGAGAGCAGAGCCAAGCAGAACCAACCCCTCCTCCGCCCCTCGCTCATGTGCACACAGTTGTGACTCCGTTTCCCCATCCCTGACACAGTGCCCACTGCGTGGGAGTAGAGTCTCAGAATGAAATGAGACAAAATGATGCCAAGAAGGAATCTAATAATCAGAACATAATGCTTCCCGAGCGTCAAATGTATGCCAGGCCGTGCTCGGCGAGCAGTGCCATGGGAGGCCCACGATGAGGTCTCCTTGTTATTTATGCCCCCGGACACCCGTGGAGATGAGGAAGCTGCTAATAATGGGGACTGGTGTTTGCAGACTCACCTGTGTAATAAATGCTTACTCTCAACTACATGACACTACAACGGCCTTTGGCAGGTTTCAAGGCTGTCTGCTGTAGGAGGGGCAGCGTGTTCACATGTCAGGGAGGCACGTGAGTATATAGGTTTATGTGTACACGTGTGTGTGGGCATGTGGAGACCAGAGGTCAACCTGAAGAGGAGTCCCTTGGTCGCTCTCTACCTTGTGTTTTCAGACAGGGACTCTCACTGAACTTGGAACTCACCAAGTAGATGAGGCTGCCCAGCTAGCAGGGTCCAGGGAGCTACCTGCCTCTGCCTCCCCAGCACTGGGATTACAAGCCTCGGCCACTACGCCCAGCTCTTTACCTGGGTGCAGAGGATGGAATTCAGGTCCTCGTGCTTTCCTGGCCAGCACTTTCCCAACTCAGCCATTTTCCAAGCTCTCAGAGGTGCTTTCCCTAGTGGGACATGGCCAGGGCCACCTCTGTCATGAGTGGTGGCTAGAAAAGCCATTCCCATTTGTAAACCCAAGTCTTGAAGCTATTGCTGTCTTTACTGCTCTTGGCCACATTTCAATTTGATGTGGCAGAAATGACTTTTCCAAAATGCCATTGACCTTTTCTCCTACAAACACAGAATATTTGAAACCAGAGACTGAGTTTCCCAGCCTCCCCCGAGGCCATGTCCTGCCCTTGACTTGGCCTTTGCACTTGGGACATCAGCAGATAATAGGCTACTCTGGAATCGGTTTACCAAGGGGAGTGAGTCTCCACACACTCACTCTCCACTTTCTCCAGCTAAAACCCAGCTAAAGCAGTCAGGGACCCAGGTTCACCAGCAAACAGGTCACAGGTCAGCCAGCAAGCCACAGCCCTTTTGCAAACCTGGCCTGCAACCTGTGTGTAAAGTTTCATTGTAGCCAGCCACACCTCTTAATTTACATATTTTCTATGCTTCCTGTGACAGTTAACCTGCGTTGATGTAGAATTATGAGAGAGACGAGCCTCTGGGGGTGTCTCTGAGGGAGTTACCAGGTTGTGTTAATTGACATACACCCCTCAATTGACATACACCTCAATATGGGTGGCAGCATTCACTGCGCTGGGAACCCAGGCTGAGGAAAAGGAGGAGGAAAGCTGAGCACCAGCAGTCACCTCCCTCTGCTTCCTGACTCCAGATACAGAGTGGCCAGCTGCCTCAAGCTCCTGCTGCTCCACCTTCCCCGCCATGATGGACTAACACTCCCTTGGTGGCTTTTGTCAGGTATTTTATCAGAGCAATGCATAAGTTACTTTAGGGCCACACGGCCAAGCTGAGTAGTTATAACTGAGACCCAGCGCCCACAAAGTCTTCAAAGAAAACATTTGCTGCTTTCATAGTGCTCAGACTTTCTCATCACTTTCTGGGCAAAATACCCAAAAAAAACACCCTCAGAGAGAAAGGGTTTGCTCTGGCTCATGGCTTTGGAGGCCCATGGTTGGCTGGGTCCATTCCTCTGTGCCTGGGACAAGATACATCGTGGAGACAGGAGCCTGTGGCTCAATGGCCAGAAAGCTGAGAGAAGAGAAACAGGCAGTGTCTGGGGATTACACATCCTTCGCAGGCATGCCACCCGAGAGCTGCTTCATCCACCAGCTCCCATCAGCCACGAATATCATCAATTATAAATCATCAATGAATTAGACCACAGGTTAAGTCAGAGCCCCTTATGAACCAACACTTCAGAAGCCCCCACCTCAAAATTTCGCTGCTTTAGGAACCAAGCCTACAACACAAGGCCTTGGGGAGGGGGTTCACAGGCTAGTATAAAAAGCAACTGAAAGATACAAATAAACTGGGTCAGACTAAGGCAACCGCTACATAGGTAAAGTGATTGCCACACCTGCATGATGGCCTGAGTCCAGATTTCCAGAACCCGCACCGAGGCTCAGCACAGCAGCCCATATATGAGACTGGAGCTTTGCTAATGCAAGGTGGAAGGTAGAGGCAGACATCACCAGGCCCTCACTGGTCAGCTAGCCTGGTGCACAGCAGTAAACAGCAGAGACCCTGTCTCAAACAACATAGAAGGTAAGGTTGTGACCTCCACATGCCACAGCATACCACGGTACTCACAGCTCACACACACTCACACACACATGCACACACAGAGACAGACAGACAGAGACAAAAACTTGAACTTCTTTCACTAAAGCCTGTTTAGAAATAGACTGTTCACAAGTTGACCCAAACTCAGAAAGACAAAAATGTTTCCTCTGACGTGCAGATCCTAACCTAGAATGTGCACATATACACGCGGAAGCTGGTGAGTGTAGGTGAGGCTAAAACTCTAGCGAGGAGGTGCAGAGGTTAATAAGAGGATGCGGGAGCAGGGGAGACAGGTGACAGGGCCCGTGGGATGTGAAGGAGGCATTATCTAGAGTGGGGATGCTGCAAGGGGGGCAGGAGTGGCAGGAAGTAGGGGGGACGGTGGGGGGCGGGGCAAGAAAACCGGAAAAGCACACTCTGCTGTAAAATGCATGATGGTTCTCAACACATTATACGTTGATTTTTAAAAATAAAAATTTCAAAAGAAACGCACTGTTTGATTTCACGGCAGCTGCGGGCTTTCTAGTTATCTGTGGCTTTGGTTCTATTTTAATCCCATTGTGTCCAGAGGACGTCATCGAATGAACTCCAATCTTTTGAAACCACTTGGGCTTCTTTACTGTGGAGACACAGAATAAATGCCGAGATCCTGAATGGATAAACATTCCAGGTGCACTTGGAAGAATCCTGAAATCCGTGACCCCCCTTTTAAAAACAGCTCTTTATTCACTGGTTATAAATATCTGCCCCAGCCTCGTTGGCTGGCGGAGGCTGTTTGTCTGCCCTCGGCCTCCCAGAGGCTCATGGACCAGGCAGAAGCAGCTGCCTGGCTGCTTCTTGCCAAAGTTCCCAAATGATCTAATGCTTTATCCTGTTTTCATGCTGAGAAAGAAGAACCATTTCCACTCAGTGTCTTCTTCCTTTCCAGAGATCTCTGTGAGCAGGGCATAGAATTCACGCTGACGCCAGAAATGATCCAAGCCGAATTCCCCATGGTGAACAAAGAAGCCAAGAAAGAGAAGTAAGTGGGTGTTTGCACCCTGGATAAGACATCCAGGTGGAGGTCAGAACTGTCATGATGTCTGAAGCTAAGCATGTCAAGCGTTGGTAGAAGCAGATCTCCAACGCTTCAACTCTTGGATGTGTGTCATTTATACACAGTCATCTCCTTCAAATGCTTTCACAAGTAAACCTTTAAAACTTGAACCCCCGGGACTGATGATTGAGTGGTTAAGAGTGCATACTGCTCTTTTCAGAGAACCTGAGTTCAGTTCCCAGCTCTCTCATCAGCTCAAAACTGCCAGTAACTCCAGCTCCTAGAGATCCAGTACCCTCTTCTGGCCCTTTGAATGCTTCATTCACAAGCACAAACCCACAAACAACTGTGCACACATACATTTTTAAGATAACAATAAAATATCTTTATAACTTGAATCCAGATAAGGGAAGAATCAGTAAGTGCTCACCGAGCAATTGCAAGAACCTGAATTTGATCCCCCAGAACCTATAGTTTGCTTTAATCCCAGCACTTGAGAGGATCTCTGGAAGTTCAAAGCCACCCTGGTTTATATAATGAATATTAGGGCTACTTAGAGAAACCCTGAATCAAAAATAGAAAAAAAGTAAGGCATGATAGTGTGTGCCCATAATCTCAGTACTGGGGAAGCAGAAACAGGAGGATTGCTGGGGTTGGCTGGCCAGCTTAACTGAACCAGTGAGCTCCAGATTCCGTGAGAGACCCTGTCTCAAAAAAAAAAAAAAAAAAAAAAGGCAAAGAGCCCTGAGTAAGACATTCAATGTGAGAGTCTGGCCTACACACACACACACACACACACACATGCAAACACAGCTATTGCCAACTGAGCATTGAGATGGTGTCTTGTAGAATCTGTGACTGGTTTCTCATTTCACCTGCACATGGTGCAGGGTGTCAGGAATGACCAGAGCAGGAGGTGGAGACTTCCATTCAGAATCTACCCACATAGCAAACTATGTAGCTGAGACCCAAGACCACTTCTAGTCACTTAGGAGCTGAAGGCTCTCACTGGTTAGCTACTGACAAGTATCATTAAAACCTTTTTTCTATATTAAAGCAAAAATACCCAATCTTCATCTGGGTGGGACATCTGGGTGATTTGCATGTTTTTTTAAAAGTTTATTTACGTGTGTGTGTGTGTGTGTGTGTGTGTGTGTGTGTGTGTGTGTGTGTGTGTGTTTTGGTTCTCCCCTTCCATGATGTGGGTCCTAGGAATCAAACCCATCTCAAGACAGGGTAGCAAGTACCTTTACCCACTGAGTTATCTGTCCAGCCTCTAAAGTCTCTAATAAATGCATTCATTAATTGATTTTGTGTGCACGCATGTATATCTATGTATGGGTCTTCGTGCAACATGGTAAACAGACATGTGGCAGCCAGAGGACAGCTTGCCTCTCTCCTTCCACCATGTGGGTACCAGGGATGGAACTCAGGTCATCAGCCTGAGGATAGTTGCCTTCACCCACAGAGTCTAGCTGGCTTGACTTGACTTGGGTGTCTTAGTGTATCTTTGTTGTTTCCTGTATCCAGGGATGTCAAAGACCAAGCCCAGCCCTCAGAGAAGGCGGGAGAAAGGGTGCTGGAGGAGATGAAGGCTCTGCAGAACAAAGCTCTCAACACATACTTGATTCTAGAATAAAAGCCTGTTCAAGTCAGTTGCCCATCTCTGCCTTCAAAGGTCACTGAGGTCCGCTGAGTCCATTTACATTCAAGATATTTTCAGAATTAAAGTTTCTAATGACAAGAATTGAAAGGCAGATGCCTTGTTTGTAAATTATATTTTTTTCTTTCCCGAGAATAAAAGTATGCTGTTATGATGGCAATGCTGGGAGATTCTCAGTGCAAGACTTCGTGCTGGAACAAAACATTCCTGAGCATGGCCAGTGTCGCCGTGACAAGGGACTAAGGACCAGGCTGGGGAGATGGTTCAGTCAGTAAAGTTCCTGCCTCACACGCATGAAGTCCTGAATTTGATCCCAAGGACCCACATAAAATGCTGAGGATAATGGAACACAGTTCCAGTCCCAATGCTGCTGGGCAAGAGACTGGGAAAGCAGGGAAGATCCCTGGGGCTCGGTGGCCAGGCAGTCTAGCCTTATTTGATGGATTACAGGCCAGTGGGGGACCCTGTCTCAGAAAATGAGCTGGACAGCACCCCAAGGAATTATACCTGAGGTTGGCCTCTGTCATCCACACACACACACACACAAGTACTAAGCCAAGCATTCCTATAGCTGTTTCTGGGAGTATTTTGTGGTGTCCAATAGCTCTGGGAGGGATCTGACTTCCCACCTCTGTCCAGAACCCCTCTTGGCCTTAGTCACCACTTCCAGGAAAAGCCACATGGGGGGAACACTGGTTCCCAGAGTAGCTGTGCTGTTGGCAGAACCTGGGTCAGACTGGCACTGGTGTGAACATTGTGAGACAACTAGAACTTACAGACATACTTGGGAACAGCTGCATAGTGTCTGGAACTTTTGGAATTCCCAGAAGCCCATGGGGCAGGAAGTCATTGCAAAGATGCCAGGAATCCTGGTAAGCAGGTCTTTTGGATGGAGGTGGCTGGTGGGGGATTGTTTTGGTTTGGTTAAGTTTTGTTTTTTTGAGACAGGGTTTCTCTGTGTAGCCCTGGCTGTCCTGGACTCGCTTTGTAAACCAGGCTGACCTCGAACTCGCAGAGATCAGCCTGCCTCTGCCTCCCTGAGTACTGGGATTATAGGCATACACCACCACGCCAGGCTGGTAACCAGGTCTTCAGTTGTGTTTGCCAATGGGACTCCATTCTTATGTGCACATGAGGAAGGCTGATGGTGTCTGAGCTCTGTCATACTCATAATTATCCAAGTGTATTTGGATATGTTCTTCTGGTCCCTGTTCTATTCGTGTATGTATATATGCAATTACTTGTCTTGTTGCTGCAACAAAGTACAAGACAAATCAACAGAAGGAAAGCTCCTTTTGGCTCATGGTCCCAGGGACTAAAGACGTGCCATCAGGTGGGGAGGGCACGGCAGCAGGGGCATGGGGCAGCTGGCATCCACAGTCAGGAAGCAGAAGGGAGTACTTGTGCTCAGCTCGCTCTCTCCTTTTCCTTCACTCCAGGACTCCAGCCCATGGAGTTGGGTCAGTCACAGTTAGGGTGGGTCTCTCCACCTCTACTAACCCAGCCTGGAAACTCCATCACAGATAAGCTCTGAAGTTTGTGTACATGGAGATTCTGGGTCTCATCAAGTAGAAGATCAAGATTAATATCAAGATTAATCCTCTATCTTGTTTGATATCACTTTGGCTTTCTGGCTCAAGCTTTGCTACATGAATTTAAATCTGTTCACATGTCAATGTGTTTTTGTGTCTGCCTCAGTTTCCCCACCTATAAGTAAACACTAATTTCTTTTATTTCTCTCCCAACTTTTCCAGACCTTGCTAGGACTACCACCCCTTGGAATAGTTGCATTGACTGTGTTGGGGATCTTGTGTCCTCTAGTGGATGCTACAAGAAATACATCTCATGGCTTGAAAGTTGGAACCTCAGTTCCTACTGAACCAAATCACCTTCCAGACCATCCAAAGAGCTCCTCACCCCTGTCCCCACCCCACCCCTTCAGATCTCCTGTAGATTAAAAGAGGTAGGGAAACATCACCTGTGTTTAATTCTGCAATCCATACCAAGTTCCTTCATTGCAGCCATTGGCCATATGCTGTTCAGAGATTCTCTGGGATCAAGCACTCAGATTCTTGGAGACAGTGGATGGGACAAGGGTTGGCATCGTGCCTGGAGATCTCAGGTGCTGCACTTGCTTCTGGAGATCAGGCAGCTCACTTTCTCTCTCCATCACTAACATTTTTTTCTTACACTTACCAACATTATCTGTTAAGTTTAAACTGGGGGCTGATCAGGACACACAAACCCGTACCTTATGAAGACCCTAGCTATGAATCCGTAACAAGCTTCCCAGTCCAGTAGCAGTACCCCAGAAAAGAAATGCTGACTTCCAGACCAGATTCCTCAAATTAAGCCCATCGGCAGCCACCCCACCCCACCCCACCCCCACCAGCTTGTTCTCATAGGTGATCCTGGGATCCCTGCTGCTACAGAGAAAGACAGACCTTCTTCCTAGAGCCTGTGAGTCTGTAAATAGGCTCTTTAGGTGTCAAGATGACTGAGCTTGACAGGCACCGGGAGACATACAGACCTCGGACTGCCAGACTCTGGCACGAGGGGGCTAGGCATTAAGGAAATGCACCCCTCCTCCACACCTCCCCATCTTCTATCACACAGCCTGAGTCCTTCCTTCCTCTGCTGATGTGAAACTCAGTCCCGAGTGAACAGTAGAGCTTCGGCATGACTACACTGAAACTCTTTGCAAAGCGCGTGTGGCATCCACCATGAAGACGGGTTCTATAGATTGACAACATGTGATATCCAAAGGGTCTGGGAAAGTGGCTGTGGACTCGACTCGGTTATACAGATAACACAAAGGTCACCAGGCTATTAATCACCTCCACTCCCTGCCTTCTGGTCTGACAACAAGTTATACATTTTTGATCCCATGAGCAAGCATAAGACCACTACCATAATTTTTAGGCCAGATTTGAAGCAAGAATTCCCAGAGAAGGGTGACAACTTATGTTAGTCAGGTGCTTATAAAGGCAAAACCCATAGGTTATGTCGGTCCCACATTTGTCCAGTCAGGGGCAAGCATGCACCCTGGTATACTTGCTGCCTGCAAATCCCCCACCTATGTGTAAACAAGCGCACCCTGTGCAGCCGTAAACCTTGTTTAAAGCATGCAGGTTGTCGTCACTCATGAACAGCTAGCTCTCAGCATTCCAGAAGTTATCTTGGGCAAGTGGGGCTTGCAAATTAGAGGCATTCCTGCTCTATGGATCTCTTAAGCACAGTGATTGAAACTTAAACCATAACTTTAGCCAAAGTGGAAGTTTCTGGGTTTTTTTTGGAAACTCAGTTGTGTCATGTCAATATGTTTTTTGTTATGGCCCCAAGTGTGGGACATTGGAATGTTCCCCTCACCCCCAGGAAAACAGCCCCCGTGGAAACAGTCCCTGTGAAAAGGTGAGCAATGATTGTTGCTACTTTGGTTTTCGGGAGCTGGAAACATCCTCGTGTGGACTCTGAGAAGGGATGCATAGAAGCACACAGTGAGACAATGCTTTGTGCATCTCTGCGCTTTGCAATGGTTCAGACTGCTTTGCTGGGTTTTGCAGAGAGAAACACTCCAGAGAACTTTCCGTGCTTCTTTGCCACTTCAGCCAGTGGTGCTGATTTTGCTGAGTGGCACCTTCGCTGTCACTGCTGCTTGCTGCTTGCTGCTGCTGCTGCTGCTGCTGCTGCTGCTGCTGCTGCTGCTTGTGCTTTGCTTTGACTGGACTGCGGGTATCCTGACCACTGAATTTGGTAATCCCCAAAGAACCCATCGACGCTTATCAGCAGAAAGTAGATAAAAAGAGGTCTTCAGCCCCTTTCCCTACTAATCTCCTATGTAAGGTTGGGGGATTGGAAGGGAGGTAGAAGCATAGGGCTGGAGAGATGGCTCAGAGGTTAAGAACACCAGCTATTCTTCCAAAGGGTCCTGAGTCCAATTCCCTGTAACCACGTGGTGGCTCATAACCATCCATAATGAGATCTGGTGCCCTCTTCTGGCCTGCTGACACACATGTAGACAGAATACTGTATAAATAATAAATACATAAAAAGTAGGTGTTTTTTTAAAAATTCTGAGCCTACATTTAGCCCTCACAATCTCTCTTCCTTTGAAGAGATAACCCTACATATTTAATATTCCTGGTTTCTCTAGTGTTTGTTGGTGAGCACACAAATCTCTGTGTCTTCTACATCCAGGTTTTTGTCTCAGGTTAAGAAAGTGAGAAAGAGCTGGGGGCAGGGTGGCCCACGCCTGGAATCCCAGCACGCAGGGAGGCAGAGGCAAACGGATTGATGTGAGTTTGAGGCCAGCCTGATCTACAGAGCAAGTTCAGGACAGCCAAGGCTGCACAGAGACAAAGAAGATGGCCATCTTAGAAGTTCACTACCTTTATCACCTAGCCATGGCCCCCCTCCCTATCTGTCTGCCCTAGCAGGGGGGTCTGTCTAACTCTTAGACCCACAGGCATAGGGACGAACACCTTTAATCATGGCGGTCAGAAGGCAGAGACAGGTAAATGTCTGTGATTCAAAGCCAATCTGGTCTCCATAGCAAGTTCCAGCCTAACATAAGCAGAAAAAATGAGACTGTGTCTCAGAAAAACAAAACAAAACAAACAATAAAGTAGATAGCACCTGAGTAAGCCATAGCACAGAAACTACTGAACTAGAACATTCCTTGGGTAAAAAAAAAAAAAAAAAAGTTTATTGGTGATCAAACTGCGAAGTCCATGGGGCATGGAGAAACAGAGAGAAGAGCAAATCGGCAGAAAAGCAAGCAGATTTTATAAGAGAGCAGGTTGGGGATCTGAGCTTATACAGGCTGGGAACTAAGAAGCTTGATTGACCTTTAAGGGAGGGTCACAGGAGATTCTGGGACAGGGCAAGACAGTGCAGAGGTTCCTCTATCTTGTTTTCTTGTTGAGGCCATTTCAGATTTAACTAGAATTTGATCTTCTTGTTGGGAAATTACTCAACTCTATTCTAGCAACCCAAGGTCAGGATGTCCCGGCAAACTTATTTTACCGTCAGTTAAACCACATGCTAGTGTAGAACACATTGTATCTAACTGTTTATTTAGCTTCTTTAATCTGCTTGCTTGTGCAAAACCTCCCCCTGCAACTGCCAAGCAAGATACCAGGATGTGCTTGGGTTTTTGTTTTGTTTTGTTTTGTTTTTGCCTTGCACTAAACACACAACACTATATTTGGGTCCCAAATACCTGAGTATAGTCCAAGCCATCTAAAATAAAGTTTCAACTGGCTATAAACTGTGTCTGAGTGCTCATCTCTAGTGGGCTTCCAGTAACAGCTCCTGGAGGATTAAGGTTGGTTCCTGGAAAACAGGAACCACCTTAGGAGATCTGCTTTTTGTTTAAACAGAAACCCATCTCTAGGTTTGTTACCCATAACAATCCTTCTGCTTACTGTGCTGTAGTCCTTGTGATCATGCCATAGTCCTTAGGATAATGTCACCAGCACTGCCATTAGGGATGAGGGTGGGAGGGCTTTGGACCTAACACTGAGGGACTACATCTGAGCAGCCTCTGACTCTGATCTCCATGCACATGCACACACAAACACAAAGAGCAAGGAACAGGCCAGGTGAAGCAGTAGCATGGCCAGCCATGAGCTGCCCTGGGTACGCCAGGACAACTACACCCTCTTCCTCAGGAAGTGCTTACCCTTAAAGGGTCTCATTATACATTAGGCTTGGCCTGCTTCTTTTGGGGCTTTGGAGACAGCTCAGCAAGTAGAGCACTTGCCACACAAGTGTGAGGGCCAGAGTTCATATTCCCAGGACCCACGTCAAAGCCTGATGGGCATGGCAGCCTGCTGTAACCTGTTCCATGATAGGTATAGACAGGGCTTCTCAGAACAAGCTGGCTTACTAGACTACCAGACTGGCAAACTCTAGATCCAGTGACAGACCTTACCTCAGTAAATAAGAAAAAGTGTCTGAGGAAGACACCTGAATTCAGCCTTAATCCTTGCATGCACATACACACATGTAAATCCTCACACATATAAACATGTATGTACATGTGTGCATACTACACACACACATATACAAAATTTTTTTTGGAAAATGAACCTGGGTCTCTGGAAGAACAGCCAGAGCTCTTAGCCGCTGAGCCATCTCTCCAGCTATACAAAAAAAATTTAAAGCAAAACCTTGAGGTGCATACAGAAAGTATTCAGAGGACTCTAACCCCTGTAACCAACAATGCATACCTTACACAGAGTGATAAACCCGCTTGCCTCCATCTTAGGCTTGAAAGCCACTTTATAGTAAAGACAAACTAGATTCATTCCTGTCTATGATTAAATCTGTTTCTCAAGGAAGAACAACAACAACAACAACCAGGGCTGGAGAGATGGCTCAGTGGTTAAGAGCACTATCTGCTCTTCCAGAGGTCCTGAGTTCAGTTCCCAGCAACCACATGATGACTTTACAACCGTCTGTCCTGACATCTGATGTCCTCTTTTGGTGGGCAGGTGTCCATGCAGATAGAGCATTTGTATAAATAAAATAAATCAAAAAAACAAAACAAGTTCAAAGTGTGGTTTGAGATGGCTTAGGAAATTCGATCAATTCAAGATGGAAATTGTGAGACATAAACAAGGAAAAGAATCTGTAAGGCTTGTGGGTTAATTGAAAGTTGGCTATAAACCAAGTAGCATAGTATATTTATGTAAAGACTCCTGGATGTATTAAGGTAATATTTTAAACAGACTTTTTGGCTTAAAGATATGAGATAGTTAAATATATTACCCTAACCCAATGAATAGTAATTAAAACACTACTGAGTTACTACTGAGTGTAACCATAACCATAGAGCCCTCAGGACTGTTTTGTAGAAAACTTTTCAGACTATTAATGAGATGGTTCAGTAGGTAAGGGACTTGCCACCAAAGCATGCGGACCTGAGCTAAACACGAATGGCCACGCAAGCGTATCCATGCATCTACCATTTTCTGGGTGTGCCTTTCGGCATGTGTTTCTTGCTTAACCCTAATCTGGTCAAAACCGCACTTCTTGCAGGCCTCACAAGATCACTTGACCTTTGGAATGTAGGGGTCACTGGCCACAAATTCCTGACCTTCCTGGCTTTGCTTTTCTCACTAAGCTTGGCTCTCCTCCCAGCTTACTGCACAGATACTTATTCCGCGTTGACAGAGAAATCAGAACCAGATGACCAGAACGGCTCTATTTTAGCTCCGGTGGGGGCTGCAACAAGGTAAAGGCGGATAACAAAGTCCCACAGCCGCTCAGCTGCTGCCTGAATAAGGCCTTAGAGAGCTCACCCTGCACTCTGTATAGTTCCAGAGCAGACGCGCGGCTCCAAGCCCCGCCCATTGAGCCCCGCCCCGCCCACAAGGCCCACCCCTGAAGGCCCCAGACCGTCATGCTTTGCGCCTGCCAGTCCGGCGCGGTAGAGGCTCGTTCCAAGGTTGCTGCACAGGTGAGCTTTCCTGCATGGCTGTGAGCAGTGGAGTCCTCCCAGGACGCCCAGCTTCCGGTTCTGGCGGGTTCCAGTTGAAGGAAGCAGCTCCCCAGTGGGTCAGGGCCGAATCGAGTTGGGGACCCTCCCAAAGCCAGAATAGTACATCCACTACGGGGCCGACCCGGAAGAGATTTTTGGCGCTCTCCCCAAGACCTTGTCTTCTCTAACCTCAGTTTCCTCTTGGAAAGAATGACTTAAATGACGTGATGCAAAACCCTGTATTTTGTTTACTGCAGTACACTGCTAATCCAACGTTTTGCGTAGATAGCAATACAGTGCAGTCTTTTCCAAAGATAAATAACAGTGATAATTAGTGATATGGTAACAGACAAAATAAGGTGCCCCGAGTGTTAAAAAGTGCACCTGTGAGGCCTTGTATCTTAGAAAAACAAAACAGTATTGGCTATAATATTGGGTGAGGTTGATGGGTTATTTTGGTCCATTTATGTACATGTAAGATAACATAAAACTATTTTTCCTTAATTTAAGATGCTGAGGGCCAAGACTGAGGTGTGGCCAGGCTTGGCTCCCTGAGACCTTTCTCCTTGGGCATCTTTACCCTGTATCTTCATGTGGTATTTTCTCTGTATGTATCGCAATCTTAGATTGAAAGCAGAAAGATTAGATTAGAGCCATCCTAAGAACCTTCAGTTTCCATCTCACAGACCCAAGCTCCAAATAAAGCCACATCCTAAGATAATGAAAATTTGGCCTCAAACATGGGAACTTGGCGGAGGTGGGGACACAGTTCAGTATATGACACTGCCACTTGGGATTTTGGCCAATAAACCTGTCCAACTGCGTCTATTTTCACAGCCGAAAATCAACCATTGTGGTAGAGATTGTAGAGTTAGGATTTTTTTTCTTAGAGTGAACCCCTCAGGTTCTGTCCACATTTGGTGATTCCACCAGCTGCAAATCAAAAATATTTTTGGGAAAATTTTTTCATCTGTACCAAACATGGCTTTACTTTCCCTAAGCAATACAGCATCACAACTTCATTTGTATTGTAACAGGTACAATAAGTAACATAGAGGTTATTTAGAATATAGGCAATACAAATACTAAACCATTTTTGTAAGAAATGAACATGTGACGATCTTGGGAGTGTTTGGGAGTCTTGAATCTAATCTCCTAAGGATATGCATATATAGTGTCTGTGTGTATATATGTGTATGTATATAAGTTTTTCTTGTGTGTGTTAGTATGACAGGTGTTTCCTGATACAGTTAGCTGTCTCTGTCCATGGATGCATATTCAGTCAGCTAAGAACTGAAAATATACAAGAAAAATTTTGCTGAACATGCAGACATTTTAGTAGAGTCTAGCTCTATGTAGCATTATGTTACATTGGGTATTAGAAATAGTATTGCGATAATTTAAAGTGTATGAGAGATGGGCATAGGTTATATGCAAACACTATGCTATTTATATAAAGCAGCCGATGGTCTTTGGGTTTTGATATCTGCAGGGATTCTGGAACTAAACACGTGCAGCCACTGAGGGACAGCTGTCTATGCAATGCTCTCCGAGCTGTGTCTAGCATATAGTAAGTACCGTGTGAATTAAACATGTGGTTGATTCATAGGTCAGTTCATTCATAAGCCAGTCACTGGGATGGGTGGTGGGTGGAGTGAGCCGGATGAGCACTCGGTGCTGTCTAGCCGGAGCCGTAAACGTGATTAGAGCCACTGTCTGAAGGATGGCCACTACACTGAGACATTGAAACGTCTTCTGTATATTTACTCATCACAGCCACTGAGGCCGTTGCTACACCTGTCTGGCAGATGGAGAGCTGATGCTGTGAAGCCCCAAGTGGAGCCCATACTCTCAGCCACAATGCGGTGTCACTTCCATTAAGAATGGTGTGGCCCCAGAGGCTATGCAGTCTGCAACCTGAGAGAACCATCGTCTGACCTCTCTTATTCTTGGCCAGATTATCAGCAGAAGCAGTACTCATGGCTGGTCCTCTGTGGAGGGCTGCAGTCTTTATACAGAGACACAGGACAGGCCTATTGGTGGGTTCCTGTGCAGGCCTATTCGGGGCTCAAATCTCATTTCACCTCTTTTCGGATCCTATACTCCAGTGGCTCTACCAGTACTGGCCGCAGGGCCAGCCGGCTCCCCTTTCCCCTCAGCTTCAAAGCCTCTTCCAAGAGGTGCTACAGGACATGGGTGTCCCCTCAGGTCATTTCTACAAGCCTTTCACCGCCTTTACTTTTCAGCCGGTGAGTGCTGGCTTCCCTAGATTCCCTACTGGGGCTATGGTGGGAATCCCTGCCGTCTTCCTGGGGGACCCTGTGACCAACATTGACCACACTGTGATTATACATGGCCAAAGAGTGGATTGGCAAAGCCCAGGAGGCACCAGGCTGAAAAATTCCCTGACCCTATCTCACGACGCCCAGAAGTTTGCCTTGGCCAAGGAGGTGGTATACCTGGAGAGTAGTATGGCTGCCCTACAGAGCCTGCCAGCCCCAGCTTGCCTAGCAGGAACCTGGGCAATAACTGTGGGTACCAAGCATGCCCTGGGGCTCTATGGAGGCCCTATGAGCTTGCGAGCTGCCTTCAACTTGGTGGCAATAGTAGTGGGCTTTGTGGTCTACACCTTTTCCAAAGACTCCCTCCATGTTGCCCTGGAAGGCTGGCTGGACCGCCGCACAGCCTCTCTGTCTGCAGCCTATGCCCAGGGTGGAGTGGAATTCTATGAGAAGATTCTGTCAGGCAACCTAGCCCTGCGCAGCCTTTTGGGCAGACAAGGAGAGAAGCTGTACACGCCAAGTGGAAACATCGTCCCCAGACACTGGTTCCGCATCAAACATTTACCCTACACCACCCGCCGGGACTCTGTGCTGCAAATGTGGAGGGCGACACTCAACCCGGGGCGCTCCTGAGAGCCCCAGCTACAGGGCACTCCTGGCTCACAGAGGCATCACCTGTGGTGAATTCTGGAGGAACTCTTGGCATGGTTGCATCCATAGTAAGGTCAGAACAGTGACCAACCAGCTTTGGAGTTAAACAACTAAATTGTGTCCTCATCATAAATGGGCTCTGTGGCTGTGCGTGAGTGCCTGTGTGATTCTGAGTCTTGTTTACCTCAACTGTAAAGTGGGAAGGGTTGATTGTAGGGTGTCGTGAGGTTGTGAGCCCAAGGTCTTGGTAGAAAGCAACATAAATAAACAGGGCATTCTTTGTTCTTGTTCTCTGAATTTCAGTGGGCTGTGGCGGTCAGACTGTGAGTCACCACCAGACACATTTTTGGTAAATCGACCCTTTCCTGCAGTGGAGATCTGCCCGTCTCCCTGATGTCCAATAGCTAATTTATTCCTCACCTTCAAATCTTAGACAGGAGGCCCCAGTGGGGCAAGGTGAGGAGAGCTGTGGTCACAGAGCCAGGCCTAACTTGGCTATTTTTGCCATTTTCTCCTTATCTCTATCCCGGGGGCAGTCTTGAAGGTTGCTGGCCTGGGACCAGTGTAACTCAGGGAAAAGGGATTAGGCTACACCGAGGGCAGGGCATGTGGGGTCTGGTTATTTCTGGCAGAACACCTTAAAAGGAGGGCGAGCCCGGCCAAGCTGATGAGTGACAGTGGGAACAGAGACCACTGGCTTCTGTTCAGACCTTGTATGTAGTCTAGAGCTCTGTGCTGCCAGCTTCAGTGCCTCCGCTGGACATGGCAGGCTGAGCTCTTGAGGACAGGAGACTCTAGGACAGCATACAATATGGACCTGATAAATGGGTGGTCTTCTAGTTTCCTTTTCTGTTGATATGATGAAAAAATATTCTGCCCAAAAGGAATTCCAGTAGGGGAGGGTTTTTGGCTTATACTTCCAGGTCATAATCCATCTTTGAGGGCAGGAACCATGGAAGAATGCTCCCTGTTGGGTCACTGTGACTCAGCTAGCTTTTTTATGCAACCCAAGACCACCTGCCTATGGATGGTTCCATCTACAGAAAAGGGCTGGTCTCTCCATCAATTACAATTGAAATAATCTCCCATAGGCACACACTCAGAGACCAAAATGATCTAGGCAATTCCTCAATTGAGGCTTTCCCTTCTGACTCTAGGCAGCGTCAAGTTGACAAGAGCTCTTTGGGACAGATGGACAAAGTAGTTACGGGATGAATGGCTCTCCATCCTGACTAACAACGCTCCACAGACTCTGGGGCATCTCTCAGTCACTGCTGTTGCTGTATGCCAAGAGCCAAAAGGCCATGTCAACCACCCAAATCTTAGGTGGGAAAGTCTGGACACTGTGGGCTCCGTCTTCTCAGCTCTTGACACTACTCTGACACTGCACCATCTACTCTTAATCTTGACAGAAGCCAAGATGGTGGCAATAGCCCTCTCTGCTGATTTGCTCAAGTGCTAGAGATTAAACATGGAAGCTGGGTCCCCATCCTGGTTTAGGGCTCTTGCATGGTACGCATACCAGCATGTTCAGGACTTGGAGCTGTGGCTGTCTCAGCAAAGCCTGTCCTGGTGATGGGGGCATGAGGGTGAGATGGTGGTCTCACTATGTAGCCTTCAGTTAAAAGAGATCCTCTTAAGTGTGATGGTTCAAGGCATTTGCTACCACTACTGGCAATTGTAAAAACCAAAATCCCAGATTATTCAGTATTACCAATGAAGACTCAGGAGCCAGATGCCGGGGTGAAAAACCTGCTACCTCAGAGAGACAGAGAAAGCTCCCAGCTGGACTTCCTACTCAGCTCACATCTCAGAGGAAAGAGCCAAAAGCCCAAAGCAAAAAGCTTGCTAGCTCAGCTGATGGTGCAAGAAAAAAAGGCCAAAGAGCTCTAGGATTAAAGGTGTGCTAGGGCTGAGCCACACAATAACCACCTGTTTACAATATACAAAAAGTTCTTGGATTAAAGGTGTGTGATAGGCTGAACCACACCAAACAAAGACAGGTTTTCACAGTTCACAATCTCGGGGCTCACAATGGGATCAAATAACCTACAGCAGGCCGGTCTTCAGGTTGCCTCTTTTAGATCAGGATTGGTGGAGGTGACAACATGGAAATAAAGCTGACAGGCACCTCCAGAAGCAGAATTGTTACTATAATCAGAACCACTGAAGGACCCTAGTCTCTAAGAATGTGGAGACATGCCACAGGGACATTGAGGTTTTACAGTTACCCTCTTATCAGAATCATCCTGGAACCTGACAGCCCACAGGTGCAATCAATCAAGTGGACTTTCCTGTCCAGAGCTTCTCAGTCCACTTAAAGCTTTTAGGTTTTTAACTCCCCAGCCATCAACTGGAAAATTCCTCAGCAGCACCTGAGAGGGAAGGACTCCTGATCTTCCCGTGGGAGTGCCTGGGGAAGTGAGATATATCGGCTGGGGAGACCAGAGAAGATGGCCCAGTGGGTAAGAGAGCCTCTGCACAGGCATGAGGTCCTGAATTTGAATCCCTAGCACCTATAGCAAAAGCTGGTCCTGGCCACCTGTGTGCATGTGGCCCTGTTAGTGATGAAGGAAGAAGAGACAGGAGGATTGCTCTGGCTTGTGGGCTACCAGCCTAGCTTCAGGTTCCGAGAGAGACTGGCTCAAGACATGGAAGTAAAGAGCTGGAGAGATGGCTAGGCAGGTAAGTGTGTGTGTTGCTCTTTGAGGACCTGGTTTGGTTTGGTTCCCAGCACATATGTTAGGCAGCTAATAACCACCTATAACTTCGGCTTCAAATGCTCTAACACCCTCTTCTGGCCCCTGTGGTACCACACTCACACATCCATACCCACCCACGGACACACAACAAAAAAGCTAATTTTTTTTTTTTTTTTTTAAAGAGAGAATAAGGTGGAGAGCGGTAGATAGACTAGGACATCTGACAGCTTCCACTGGCCTCTTGATGCACAAACATGGCTGTATATCACACATGCACATACAGAGTGAGACATGGTCTTTTACAGCAATTCTAATCCTACAATAGTGAATAGTCAGTGTTCCTGAGTTGGGGTAAAATTGATACAAGAATATACTCTCGATGATAGTTGACTCTTTTGACCCAGTAACTACAACATGGAAACCCGTGCTAGGAACATAACCCACAGGTTTAAATAACATCTGTCCAAAGGTATCCATAAGAACATGCATATGATATGCTGGAAATAGTTTTAGGAATAGAAATAATAGAAATGTTGAATAACAATGACTTAGGAAACCAGGAATGTTGTTTAGGTACTAAATGGTATTCAAAAAGTAGTTATGAAAAGTAGGCAAAGGATGTATCTGGTAGGGTGGTTGCCTAGCAGCACAAAGACCAGAAATTGATTCTCAGCACCAGGCTTGGCAGTGCACACCTACAAATCCCAGCACTCAGGAAGCAGAGGCAAGAAGTCAGGAGGTTTGTAGTTATCCTCCGATATATGAATTCAAGGCTAGCCTGGAGCACAGGAGACCCTGTCTCAAAAAAATTAATCATGAGAACTGGTAGAAACCTGTGGAAATAATAGTTATAACTGACATGTGTATCAAATATGCACTGATAGTTATAAAGGGAAAAAAAAAACTTGTATATGACAGCCGCAATAACGGAAACATGCAAAACCCGGGAGAAAGCTTACAGAATTGCAGATAAATTCTATTGCAGTGGAATTTGGGATTACTTTATCTATTCAACTAATAGGAATTCTCTCTGTCTCTGTCTTTCTGTGTGTGTGTGTGTGTGTGTGTGTGTGTGTGTGTGTGTGTGTGTGTGTGATCATATTCAAAGGGGCTTGGACTTTGTACTCTCTGCCTCAAGGTGACAGATCCTGGCATCCCTGCTTCTGGCCCTGATTTTTGGGGTGCAGCCAAGCTTTAGTCTATCAAGTAGCTGTGGAAGCCATGAAAGTCTCTTCGAGCCTGCTGTGGGTGCAGATTTCACTAACGGCTCCAGTTGTCTTCTCAGCTCCATCTCCGCATTCACAGGAAGCTGTTCCTGGGCACGGTGACAGTGGCCCCTGCAGGCAGCTTTCCTGCAGTGGTGACTGTCATGGCCCCAGGGAGCTTTGCAGAAAACTCTGGCATCTGGAGCTCTTGTTCTGCACTCTCTGGTGTCAGGAGGACACACCGGAGCTGGGGGCCGGGGTAGCTCAGTCAGTGGAGTACTTGCTTTGTAGGCATGGGGACTGGAGTTTGAGCCACAAAACCCACATTAAAAAGAAAGAAAGCGAAAAAAAAAAAAAAAAAGTCAGGCTTGTAACTGTGGAGGGAGAGATAAGCGGACCCCTGAGGCTCACTGGCCACCCACCCTAGCCAGTTGAGTGATTTCTAGGTAAGCTGAGAGACTCAAAAAGCAAGATTAGAGATGAAGACAGATTAAAATCACTCGCCACCAAACCTGACATCCGGACACACACAGAGAAAGAGAGAGAGCTAACACACACAGCTGTCTTCTGACTATCACCTCACCTGTGGAGTGGCACATGCCTAAATAAATAAATAAATAAATGTGATTTAAACTCTTTTCAAAAGATGGTAGCAGAGCTGGAGAGATAGCTCAATGATTAAAATCACTTGCTGCTCTCCCAGAGGACCCAAGTTCAGTTTCCAGCATCTAGAATGGGCAGCTTACAACCACCAGTTAACCCCAGCGCCAGGGGATTCAACACTTTTTAAAAAAGATTTATTATTTATACAGTATTCTGCCTACATATGTACCTGCAGACCAGAAGAGGGCACCAGATCTCATTATATAGAGATAGTTATGAGCCACTGATTTGAACTCAGGACCTTTGGAAGAACCGCCAGTGTTCTTTTGAGCCATCTCTCCAGTCCTCAACACCTTCTTTTGACCTCCTTGGGCACCCACATACTTGTTAAGAAAAAAATAGGTAATAACTGAAGAAGACGTCCAAGGTGGGCCTCTAGCCTCCGCACCTGTGCACTGCCCTGCCCCACCTCTCCTGTCTTCCCCCTTGGTCCTTCACAGGCCTTCCACCTCGTGCTCTCCCATCTGCTCGTCGAATCTCAAGGGACCTCAGCTAACACTGCTGCCCCCTCATCTAAGCATCTATATGAGCTTGTGGGGCTTCACCCTGCCCTCGGGTAGCTCTCAGCCCTACAGTCATACCTGCAGTGATAACATGAAACCAGAATCACATGGGAGATGCTCGAAGGAGCACAGGAGACAGCGAGCATCTTATTCAGCTTGCGTTTGAAGGGCAGGGAGGACTTCCCAGGAGACATACACTGATACCCAGACACTAAGGGTTTACC